GGGAGAGAGTCGGGGAGAATGGTGAAGAGAGGATCTGCCGGGCGGTCAGTCCCGGATAAAGGATTAAGTCAATGCAACGTAAGGTCTGTGGATTTTGTGGAGAGTCCACGTAGGACATGTAGTATGCGTCAGTCCATCCTGTCTGACGTCCTGTCCGCCATGGCCTGTCTCATGGAACGGACAAAGACTCAACAGCCGTCCTGTCTCACAGATCAGTGGATCGTCGGTCTATGAACCCTAGGCCCTAAACCCTGGACCGACTTGCACTTCTGACAAGTCCCATCTCCCGTGTCGACTACGCCAACACGCAGCAGCTGCATCTCCACTATGACACCCAGGCGGTCGTCAGCACGTAAGCAGACGGAGAGGGGGGGCGCTTCACTGCAGATGGGCCGTGCACGGGAAGAAGTGTGTCGCGCATGGATGTGTGTGTGTGTGTGTTGTCTTGCAGGTGCGTTGACTGCCACAACCAGGACTCCTTCACACTCAAGTTCGTCGACAACAACCGCTCCATCTTCCAGGGCACGCCGACCGCCACCCCGACCGACGTGACGGTGCACTTCCGCGGCTTCAAGATAGCTACCAACGGCTACGTCGGCATCGACCTCAACAACCTCACCCTCTCTGGTGAGATGACCGGCGAGCAGACCGGCTGGACGACGCTGTACGTGCAGCTCAACGCGAGCACTGCCGCCAACGCCAGCATCACCTTCGAGAGGCGCATCATCCCTGACCGTCCCTACGTGCCGCCCCCGCGCCCACTCGCCGCCGACGGGAACATCTACATCCCCATGCCGCGGCCTCCCAGTGGCATGCCCGGCGACAAGGCCCCGGCCTCCTCTTTCATACCGTGAGTGACTGACACCCGCAACTCGGCGACTGGTGGATGGATGGATGGATGATGGGGAGCCTGCTGTGGTTGTTGCCTGCGTGTGGATGGCGGCAAGGAGTGCGTGTTGGTGTGGTGGGTCGGGTGGTTGAGGCCCCCCTGCCGTGTTTTCCGTTTTTGCACGTGTTGCCTGGACGCCAGGCATGGCCGCATCTATATGAATTGCACGCGTGTGTATTTCTCTGTGTGTGTGTGTGTGTGTGCATACTTACAGATGGATTGCATGAATGGCTTTGTACACTGACGTGTCGACGGATGCCTGTGTGCGCGTGCGTGTGCGTGTCGGTGACGGTGTGGTTGGGTGTGTTGTGTGGTCGGGGGATGGGTGCGCATTGTTCAAAAAACGGTTTTGCGGCCGCCACAAACGTCGTCATGTCGGCGGGTGCGTGTGTGGGGTGCTGGTGTGTTTTGTTTCCTCATACTGACGTGACACCGGGTACACCTCTAAGACGCACAGGAGGGACCCCTGTCTCTCTCTCTCTCTCTCTCTGTGTGTGTGTGTGTACATACATAACACATGCGTGGGTGCGGTGCTGAACGGTGGTGGTGTGACGTGATGTGATCTGGTGCGTGGAGGATGGGTGCATGGGCGGGTCGGTGCGTGGGGTGGATACCAGCCAGTCGGGCGGGGGCGAGTGGGTCAGTGAGTCAGTGCTGCTCCGATGGCCTGCCTTGTCACGGTGTGTGTATGTGTGTATGGTATGCATTGCCGTCACACACCACCCGATGAGTCTGCCTTTCACTTGTCTTTCTCTCTTCTATCTGTGTGCATGGGCATTGTTGTGTTTTGTTATCCCAATGCTGCAGTGGGGGTCTCTTCTCTACGCCTTTTTCCGCGTCATTGCGTGTATCTATATGTGTTTGTCGGCCACTCACCAGCCGTCTGCCTACCTCAGACCGAGCTGCCGCGACATTTTGGAGCAGAGAAACAGACAGAGAGGCAGGTGTGTGTGTGTACATACATAACACAATGGGAGGGGGAGCTATCTATGCGTTAGGACAAATACATGTGATGCCTGCCTAGGTTGTCATCAAACCAGTGAGTGAATGAACGGCTTTCTGCCCTTGTAAACTGACACAGAGTGAGCGGACGGATGGAGGGGGGGATGATGCGTGTGTGGGGGCGGAGGGCAGACGAGGGGAGGGGTTCTGCACGGCTGGTCATTCATTGGGGGGCGCTGATGTGCACATACATGAGACAGACAAGTGATGGCGCATCGCATCAAATATCATTGATGGTGGGTGTGGTGGTGTGTTGCGTATGATGGTGGCGACAATCACTGATGCATACGTACAGACTGGTGGATCGAATGACATGGCTGAAGGAATGGCTTCGCTCAGGGAATGTCAGTCGGTCATTCAAGCGAAAGAGAACCAGTAGCTCATGTGTGTCACTGCTCCTCGTGGCCGGGCCACCCACATTCATCGACACACGACACAACGTACCACTCTCCTGCCCTCACCAAAGTCTATGCAACAGACATGTGTGCCATCTAAGGCACACATGTCTGTTGCCGCAGGCTTTGGTCAGCATAGCAGAGGATGGCACACAAATGTCGCCCGCACACAACCACACACCCGACACACAGCGTCTCATCCATCCGTCCAGGCATGGCACTCACACCATTCTGTTCGCCACGCCATTCCCTGTGTTGACTGCTGTGGCTGTCTCGTCACGGCTAGTCATCACCCTCGCCGCCCTGTGTCCATCACAAGCACCGTTGAATGGACACATGACGACACCGGCGACGTCCAACCATTCCGAGACCACCACATACACATCACGCAGGGCTTGCTAAATGTCTTTCTGCCACCCCTCCTCAAGCACCCACTCATCGCGCCGACCAAACGGCACTCATCGGCAGGCACCCCTCCATTCACAAGCAGCAGCCAGAAAGTAAGTAGGCAAGTGGACTAATTACATGCGATCGATAGACGGACACGCGCTGCGCCTCGTCGTGTCGTCGCAGCGAGAAGGCACGTGGGCGGTGAGAAGAAAGAGATGGGCTTTAGAGAGAGCGACCGGCACCATTGGATCGTGTGCAGGTCTATCATCCGAGGAAGTTGATGACGGTGAGGAAGAGCACCAGGTTGCACACGAGGTAGTCGGCGAACGCCCTCTCGGCCGTGATCTTGAACTCCTCAGGATCCATCAGCTGCACTCGCAAACCAACTGACACACACACAACAAACAAAACACACGTGTGCCTTCCGTCTGTCGTCTTGTCTTTCTTGTGTGCAGCCAACATCCCCCTGGCTGGCTGACTGACTTGTGAGCGTCATGGAGCCGACGCAGCAGATGAAGCCCGAGAGGAATGAGTTGAAGGGGAAGCTGCCGACGATGAAGCAGTACAGCAGCTGCACCACCGCCGTGTAGCCCAGGAAGATCACCAGCAGGTCCAGCAGCTTCACACGGTCCGGCGTCACCTTCTTGTACTGCTGAAACCCGCTCTTCGCTATGTCTGTCAAAGTGCTTACGAACCCACTCAGCGCCTTCATGATGGGAAGAGATCCGCTCTCCCGGCCGCTCTCGTCGCTCGAAAAAGTGCGAGCTTTTCAACGGTCCGTACACGGTGTACAGAAGCAGCGCTTTCTTTTCTGATGATTTCAAGACCACACGGCCTGCGTGCAGCACCCTACTGAATGAACGACACCATCCGGCGGCCTCTGCGCTCCTGAAAGCGGGGCTGCTCACCTCACAGAATACTGACTGACCTGGGCTATGCACCCGCTGCAATGAAGATGTCCCCACAAGGCTGGTAGTGCGGTCTCTGCCCCTGCCGTCCATGCCGCGAGAAGCGTCGGCGTCGCCCTCCCGCCCTCCGGCCGTCACTCCCTCCTGCTCAGGCCACCTTTCGTCCGGCGACATTCAGCTGGAGATCAAGACAGAAGCCGGCCAGCCGTCACCACCCGCCATGCAGGTGGGCGCTGGCTCTCCCCTTTCTACTGATGATGCCCAAAGCGGCAGCGTTACGAGAGAGGAGGTGGACCGAATGATCGGCAGGAGGCGGCCGCGGGAGGAAGAGCTCGACGCCCACTCCACACCGACAAACAGGGCCAAGAAGGCGCGGCTCGTGGCCGTCAAGCAGGAGCCGGGGGTAGGGGGGGATGGTGGGAAGGAGTATGAGCCCTATGAGGCTCCCCCCGCCCTCGCCGTGACCCCCATGGCCAAGCCCCATGACGGCGGCTCGCCCCACCACACATACCCCCTGTCAAACCAGCTGAGCTTCCCCCTGGACGAGAGGCAAGGAGGTGGGTCGGAGGGGAGCCTGACGAGCCGTGTTGATGTGGATGCTGAGGGCGACAAGGAGGTGGCGATGGGTCTTGAGGGTCAGGGAGAGGAGGAGGTGTTCGGGAAGGAGCTGGGAGAGAACGTCAACCAGACGACGTTCGGCCGCGTGCAGAGGAAGAGCCTCGAGGGGGAGCCCTTCAAGAGCGGCTTCAAAGGCGTCAGCTGGAACAGGCGCATGAACGTGAGAAACACTCATTGAGATGAGGCCACACACACGTAGTGTCTTTTGTTCCTGTGTGGGTATGTCTGATTGATCAGGCTTGGTTGGCATTCTGGAATGAGGACAAAGCTCGGCGATCCAAGTCCTTCCCAACCAAGAACCTCGGCATCGAGGTGAGATAGGGAGGAACGGAGGGACGGAGGGACCAACACACAGAAAAGGCCTTCCTCAACACACACACACACATATTTGTGTTTGCTGTTGCTCACTCAGGGTGCGAGGCAGGCGGCCATCTCGTTCCTGACCCTCAAGCGTCACGAGGAGGACATCCGCCAGGCCACCAAGGCGTGTCTCATCAGCAGCAGCAGCAGCCACCCCCCACCCCCTCACGAGCCACACCAGGCGCCCGAGAATCTGCTGCAGCTGGCGTCCTCCATCTGGAGCATGCCCACCAGCCCCTCCATCGTCCCACCCACACCACTCGCCGTCAAGGTCAAGGAGGAGCCTGTCGAGAGAGACGAGGTGCCCGTGACCGTCAAGACAGAGAAGGGCGCCGATGTGGTCATCAAGCGGGAGGAGAAGGAGGAGGAGGAGGAGGAGGGCAGCGCAGAGGGCAGCGCAGAGGGCAGCGCGAGGCAGCCGGCTGTCATCCAGCCGTCTTTGACGATCAACGATGACGCGCTCATGGCCCCTGCTGCCGAGTCGGCCATCTGTGCAGCCGCCAGTGATGCAGCAGCCCCACCACCATCACCACCACCTCCCCCACCATTGGCAGCGGAGAAGGCCAGCGGCGGCACAATGCCGCCGCCTATTCTGTCGATCAGCGGATCTCCCGTGTCGCCCTTCACCCACCCCTCGCCCCTGCAGCCCTCCCCTGCCCCATCGTTCACGCCCACCGCCAGCATCTACCATCCCGGTACCGTCATTCTGCCTCACAGGCTGACGCTGCCGTCCTTGGCCTCGCCTGAGGTCAAGCAGGAGGACATCAGGGCTGCCGTTGACCACCATCCGCCATTGCGTCAGCTGCCGGTGCCGGGCGCCCATGCGGGTGGTCTCCTGCGCTTCCTGACGCAGCACCAACCGATCTCCAGAAGGCATGACGTGGTCCTGTCGACGCCTGCACCGCCCGTGTGCGTGTCCGTCCCCCCGCCCCCCACACCCGTCACGACCACCAGCACCAGTCGGCTTCTCTCACAGGTGGTGCAGCAGCACATCCATCTGCAGAGGATGCAGCAGCAGCAGCAGCAGCCGAGGACGCCTTCCCCCATGCCCCCCCTCTCGTCGGCTGCATCGTCCGGCCGATCGTCAGGCCGCCCTTCGCTTCTGGGATCGCTGGGCCAGCTGCTGCGGCTGGCGAATCAGCATAAGGACGAGGGAGGGCCGGGTGGCGGGACGCACCACCACAATGACGGAGACACGACGACCGGTGGCACCCCCGGCAATCAGTCGACGGACAACGACGATGCCGAAGAGTTCGACCCCGACACCCTCTTCAAGGACCCCTCCCCTGCACCCGCTGCATCTGCCTCCCCTGGCCGTGACTCTATGGCCTCACTCTCGCGGCCGCTGGACGCCCTGACGCTCGATGCCACTAGGAGGAACGATCATCAGGCCGGTGGTCACAGCAGCATGTGGAGCGAGGGAGTTGGCGGTCTGCTGGGCGGTGCCGACATGCATGATGCACCCATGGATTTGGCCGATGGGAGGAGTGGCGAAGGTGCGATGGGGGCGGCGGGCGGTGGCGGTGGGGGGAGTGGGAGCGGCTGGTGCGACTCGTGGATATATTGATGGGCTGTGATTTGACGGTTCGAGAGATCGATGACCGCCTGCCTGCCTGCCGATTTGAGTCATTGTCACCCACAGCTTGTGAGTGAGTGAGTGTCATCTATGCTATGCTTGATGCTTCCTACGTTCATACAATACACACGAATGGCTGAGTAAATCGATGCGTGTGCGCGTGGTGCGTGGTGGGTGGCTGGTGGAAGTGCGCATCAATGAGTGTCGCCCCGCCTCAGAATTGAATGGGTTCAACTAGACAAAGAGAGAGAGGCGGCTGTTTCGACGCGAAAGTTTGCTGCACGGCCACTGAGTGGAGTGGATTTGTGCTGGTTCGTTGGTTGGTGTGCGTGTTGTGTTGCCTTGCCTTCATGTCGTGTCCGTCTGTCTGTCTGTCTGTCTGTGGCTGCATTGCATACACTGTTTTTTCCCCATCCCATCAATGCAATGCATTCATTGCCCGTGTACATGGCATGTGTCATGTATGTGCATGTGTGCGCGGTGCTGTTTTTGATTGATACGATTTTTCCCATTTTCAGTTCAAATCATGTTGGTTGCGTATTCTTTTTCCCCTGTCTTGTCTGTCTGGGCGATTGATTGGTTTGGGTGGTTGATTGATTGATACGGCGCGGCCTGGCGCGTGGTGTCGGCGGTGGGATGAATGCAGTCAGTGCGATGCGATGCGATGCGATGCGATGCGTGGGTTGTGGAAGGGAGTGGGTGGTGTGATGCTTTGCTTCCGGTGCAGCTAAGGACTGCTGCCGGTGTGCATGCAAACAAACGGTGCGTATAGATATTATACATGCCTGTGCAGTGCATACCATACGTCGGTCATAGGAGAGCAGATTGATTGAACCACCTGGATCGGATTGGATAACCAAAAGCTTTGATGGATGGGATGTAGGTAGGGTTTCTGGCTTGCTTTGGCGCTGGCTGGGCTGCGGGGCTCGAGGAGGCCGGGGAGGGGGGAGGTTGATGGATGGGTGGGATGATGATGATATATGCGGCGGCCGTGTGCATGGTGTATGGTATGGTGTGTGTGTGTATGGATGGCTCATCTCACCTGTGTCTCACCTACCTCTGTCTGTCTCTCTAATCTGGTCTGGCTGGCAATTTTCCTGTCCTTTGCTTGCTTGCTGCTGCCCCTCTGCCTGCCTGGTCTGCCTGGTCTGCCTGTCTGTCTGCTCTCTGTACAGCTGCGTGCCATATTTTCACACAGAACCCCACTGCCTACCTCTTACTCGTCCCCTTCTCTCTCTCTGCGATGCGTGTCTTACCTGCCTGTCGGTCTGTCTGTCTGTCGACGCGTCGTCAATGCAATGCTTCGCCTTTTGGTATACCTGTCTGTCTAAGATTCGTACACGTCCACCATGCATCACTCGTCATCGACTCTCCCACCGTCCCGTCAGTATGTGCGCGCGGGCGCGGCGCGGTGGCTGGCTGAGACACATGGAATGTACACTCACACACACACACACATCGATATCCATCCATCGCAGGTAGCTAGGTACAGTCAGTACACCCACACCACCATGTGCTTAATTGCTGGAAGTTTGAAATGTATGGATGGCCCCCACAGTTGTTATGAATGAATGGACACATCACGATGTGCATTGCATTGACACTCGCTGTACAGTCGATCGACACACGCTGGGTAAGGTAACTCTGTGTAGGTGATGTTGGTTGTATGTGTGCAGTTTGTGTGTGCTGCATGCCAGTGCATGGCTGCCCTTGAGCTAAGCTTGTGTGTGTGTGATTTGATGAAACATGTGTAATAGCTACGTGCGTGCCCTGTTGATAGCGGTGGGCAAACATAACATGTACAGACTGCCTCGTCTCGCGTGTTAGTTATGTGATGGATTGTCAAGTCAGTCAAGGCGGGATGGCGTTTGAAGGATCGAGGCAACGAACACGGAAATGTGTCAGTCAGATGAACATACACACACACATAAAATGCAGGCAGCAGCCACGTGCCCCTCACCCAGTCAGTCCGCCCCCATCGACAGCATGGCCTGCCTCAAGTTTCTCTTCGTCGGTCTGACGACACACAAAGAGACAGACTGCCTCGCGTGCTATGTGATCGATTGTGAGGTCCTTTAAGAGAGAAAGAGCATTCACGCACAAAGATCCACAAACATCTCTCCGGATATAAAATGTAGGCAACGATGTGGCGTCTCCCGCCACAGCCACCCATCCACCATCATGAAGCCCCACCTCCAGCACCAACAATGCCCGGGCTGGTTTTGGATGTCAGGACAAGAACACGTCTGCAACTCGAGAATGGAAGCTACAGTGCTCTCCCTCAATCAATGGCACCGAAGCGCCCGACAACTTATGCTCCCCTCAGACACGCACATACACTAGGTCCGCCTCTATCTCACCCACCCTCAACCAAACAAACAACACCCCCCTCTCGTCTCCCCCAACCACAGCCACCCTTGCACCGTCATGAAGCCATGCAGCCTTGCAAGCCCCTCCGGCACATACAACCATTTGCCCCGCACCCATTCCCCTCCCGGCTGGAACTGCGTCTCACACTCCTGCAGCAGTCCGCCCCGCAACTCGATGATGAATGTCGCATCGGTCCACTCGACCTTGCCGACACACTGGGGCGGTAGTGTGACGCATGGTGAAGTGCGCAGAGTGTGGAGTGTGTGGGGCAGCGATGGGAGGGGGAGGGACGTCGTCGGTGTCTCTTCGGAACAGCTGCTGGGTCCCTTGTCCTCTCGCGACGCCTTGGCCTTCCTGCTGGTCGCCGTGGCGACCGACTGCTGACACCGGCAGGTTGCGTCATCGGGTACACAGACTGGTTCTTCATCCGGTGATCAACAAGCCTCTTCGCGTCCTGCACGTTACGCCACGTCACGGCTGGGGTGCGTGATGGGGTACGATGTGATGCATGTGCTCTTGTCGAAGGATAATGGCAGCTCCTGTGGAGACAAAGAGACGACACCAGTCAATGAGATGCGGTGCTATTGACCCCGATGGAGGGCTCACCTGGAGTCGCTGCTGGAGTGGGCCGATGATGTCTTCGGTTTTCTTGATGTACTTGAGAGTCTCCTGTTTTCTCGTGGGAATGATTTCCCATCCGTCGTTTGATATTGTGTGCTGAGGGATAGAGGGAGACACGAGCGGCTGCAACAAAGTGAATGAGAAGAGAATGGTATCGACATACCTGGCCGACCCACCCATCCGCCCGTGATTGACGTGGCGCACTGAGGGGTGCCAACACGACAAATACAGCTGAAAAGGAGCCAACACACCGCACAACAAACACAATGTCAGACGTCTCAGTGCCTGCCTGTGAAGCTGTCTTCCCATGCCTGCCCGTGAGCGTTACGGGTCGCCATTTCCTCACATTCCCATGGTGAGCTCCTCGCGTGTCATGTCGGGGGCGGGGAGCGGGGTGGGCCATGCTGTCGCATCCTGCCACATACGCACAGAAATACACATAGCGATGCAATCAGCATACCACTCGACATCAACCTTCCACCGTACGTGTCGGTCGGTCCCCGTATTCTTATCTTGCGCGGCTGAGTGTTCAAAAAGCATAGTGATGCTTATCTCATGTTTGTTTAGTCAAACTTGCTCACCGTGGCTCTTGGTTTGCGGCTGTTTTGGCTTCATTTGTGCGTTTCCCCTCGCACCTTAGCTGCATCCCTATGTGTCGCCGAGTCCACACATTCTCCACACAGGCAGAGGTGTGCGGGAGAAGGAGGAAGCCAAGATACGGACAGATATAAAATGTAGGCAACAATGCCGCGTCTCTCACCGCCTCCCTCCCTTTCTTGTCAGGGCGTCGAAGAGCTGGCCCTCGAATGTGCAGATTGCGTCCATGATGCCGGCAAGGGGCGGGCGATCACAGGGGAGGGAAGAGAGGCACTCGACGGCCAGCTCCTCGATGTCCTTGAAGATGGGGCGGAAGCAGGCCAGCTCGGGGTCGTCTCTCTTGTGCAGGGGCGTGTGGCCTCCCGGCAGGCTGATGAAGGAGCCGTCCTCCGCCCTCATCGCCGCCAGCCGCTCAGCCCATCTCAGCGCCCATTTGATGTCTCGCCGGAAGGCGCTCTTCGAAAGGCGCGCCGCTGAAAGGCTGCTGGCCGCTGGGTCCTCTTGCTCGTCAGCGGCTGCCTCCTGCTGGTCGATGTGTTTGGACAGCTCCTCGTAGCTGTTCCCCGCCACAATGTTGAGCAGCACGAGCCCCACACCAAACGCAGCCGCCCCCTCGCCCACACGCAGGTACTCCCTGCCGTCGCCGCCGACGTACACGAGCCCCTTCTGCTCCAGCTGCTGCTTGTAGGCCTCGTAAGCCTGGCGGATCTCGGCAGCCTTGGGGTCGGTGGAGGGGATGCCGAAGCTTTTGTCCCACTTGGCCGACCCTCCTCGAGACAGGAGCCGAGAAAGAAGGCCAGCTCCGGCGGGGTGGCGAAAGGGGTGTGCTGCGGCTCTTGGCCCCGGGCCTCCCTCTCCTTCTCGTTGAGCACCACATGTGCGTCATGGCCATGTTGCCGGCGCTCCTCGTCGCTCTCGGGGCCGCCCTGGGTGTTAGCGATGTCGATGGTGATGACGCATTCATCGAGCGATGGTTACGTGTATACCCACCTGCGAAGCTCACATCGATCTTGTTGTCATAGCTGCCGCGCTGTTGGCAGTCCTCCCACCTCACTCGATAATCGTCGGCCATCTTGCCAATCAGGTTAGTAAAGGAGTGGCTCCAACTGTCTTCCACATGCGCCGCAATTGGGGTGAGGGAGGAGCGGCAGGTGGTGCTGGTGCTGCTGTGCGACGGACGAGGAGGGGGGAACACCAAGCTGAATGTGGCCGCCTCAGGGCTTCCCAGTTGAGCAACACGTCCTTATTGAGGTTGTCGATGGCGTAGGTGTGGGCCGACGCGCAGGACATGTGTCCGAGCGTGAAGAGCCCTGCGCTGCGGACGGCCATCGACACCTCGTAGATGGCGTCGGCGGCCTGTTGTCAGGGAAGTTGTACACGTCGCAATGCGTGCCGCCCTCCCGCGGCACACCAACTGTGGACAAAACACACAGAGAGGACAAATTCCACCACGAATAGGGCCTTCTTCTTATGATTCTTTCTGCACACTTACTCTTCAGCCACGGCATGGCAATGAAGGTACACTGCTTTTCAAACTGCACCTCCTCGCCCCTCATCTTCCTGAAGACGGCCGGCGCTCCGAGGCCCATGACGGTGGCGCAGCAGGTCCATTGCATATCAAGCAGCGATCTTAAGAGACATCATGATATAAAGTGGAGGCACCGATGGCTGGTGTGCCTGCCTGTCCACCGGCCAAACCAAAGTCGTCGACGTAGTCAGTGTCATCTGCATCAACGAGACACGCCAAACGACAGGAGCCACGTGTATCCTCTCGTCTGTAGCAGAGACACACGTACCCATGCGGTGGGTGGGGTGCCTCCTCACAGCCAGTCGCAGCTACCAAGAAGCAGGCCGTCTGGTCCGCTGCCAGTGGACTTCCACCATCCCGCCTCCCCTTCCACCCCTCTTGCTCTCTTGCCCCATTCACCATACTGTCGGGGGTGCTGAGGAGGGAGATGGTGAATGCGTGTGAGTGCAGATGAGTGGCATACTCCCTTCCTGTCTTGTGTGGGCACCCCACCTCGATCCCACAGATCTTGGCGAGTCCCACGAGGTGGCCACATCGGTCCTCGGGGTCGCCTCGTCGGTCGTTGAGCTGCTGGGGCTGCGATGGCAAGCCGTCCGCTCTCCCACCGCACTCACATCCCCAGCAGTCGCCAAGACGTTGGTCGACCCGCTCACCTGAAGGCGCACAGCAAACACCTTACGCGTATTGCAACAGTGCCATGAATGTTTGTGCATTCATTCACTGGCTGTGTTAACCGTGCAGAGGGGGCTGCTGGCTGGTCTTTGTGCCAGGAAGGGCAGCTCAGCTTCCTCCGACGGCATACGACTAGACAGCAAGTCGGGGTGGGGAGGTGGGGGGGGAGGTGGGGTGGGTGTTGGCCTATGTGTGGGGCTGACTGACCTCGAGTTTGATGTTGTATATGCTCTGATAGTACTCGCCCACCTTGCACTCTCGGCTGTTTTTGTCACGGATTTTCGGTGGCGCGAGTGTTGAAGGGGCTTCTGCTCCTCCACCTGCAGACAGACAGATGTGGACATACAGACATTTGGGGAAACATTGCATTCCTCTGATACATGCTGGCTCCGTTGCACAGGCTCCGTTGTTCGTGTGTGTGTGTGTTGGTTCTTACGTCGTCGTAATGTGATATCGGACGTAGAGCATGGCCTCGTGTTTGAACACATTGAGCGTCTCCTTCATCTTGTAGTGGTCCAGAAAGGACGCCAGCAGGTCGCACACAAGCAAACCTGACACACACACGGAGACACACACACATAGGTCCTCTGTCTGTCTGTCTGTCTGTCTCTCTGTGTGTGGGGTTGCCTGTCTGACCATGTGCCGACTCTTTGAGCCGTTTGATGCCCTCATCCAGCTCCTCTGCCCGCTCGTCGTCGACAGTCGGCGGAATGCGACTCATCATCTGAAAGACTTGATACCGGCCCTCAAGTCTGGAGGAGGAGCTGACGGTGGGCCTCAGGAAGCCCTCGCTGCCCGTCACCCAACGCAGACGACGGAGACGGTCTGGAGCGACGGGCTGGGGCGCCGGGGCTAGGCCGCTGCGGACAGCCGCTCTCGCCTCCGCTCTCGCCTGACAGTGGTACGGTTCGCCCCTCACTCGCCCAGCTGCCAATGGGCTCCCCCCCACGGCAGCGGCGGCCGAAAGCTGCATGGGCGCAACAGGGGCTGCGGGGTCGTGGAGAGGGGCTGACTTGATCGGGAACTGTCGCTGCCGAATCTCACGGGCGGGGCGGGGACCTGAAGGGTGAGTGTGGGTGGTTGGTCTGCCCTCTGAGGCCTCCCACGATCCGTTCTGCAACCGCCCCTCGAGTGTGTAGTTGATGATGTCCAGCAGCAGGGGGCCGTCCGTGGGTGCCGACGAGACTGGGGGCGGGAGGGGCAGGGACCCGCACAGCTGCTCCTTGGACAGCACGATGTAGCGACGGGACACTATCTCCTCCGGCAAGCGGCCCTGATTGACCACATGGGAGGGGGGAGGTGTTCGTGTGTGTGTGTGTGTGTGTGTGTGGGTCCTTACGTCGTCGTATTGCTCGTGTTTGAAAACATTTAGCGTCTCCTTTATTCCGTAGTAGTCCAAAAGCGATGCCACTAGGTCGCACACAAGCGAACCTGACACACACAGGAAGACACACACACATAGGTCCCCTGTCTGTCTGTCTGTCTGTGGGGTTGCCTGTCTGACCATGCGGCGAGTCTTTGAGCCGCTTGATGCCCTCCACGAGCTCATCTGCCCGCTCGTCGTGGGCAGTCGGCGGCCTACCACTCATGAGCTGAAACACTTGACTCTTCAACTCCGCCTGTGCACACAGCAATCAGCCCGACACACACATACACACACAGAGCAATGAATGAATCCCAACCCCACAAAGCAGCTCACCTTGATCCTCGGCAGGATGCCCTGCTGCACCATGGCCCCTATCACATGCTCCTTCAACACCGCCACCTTCTCCCGACCAGCAGGCCCCCCGTAGTACCTCCCCTCTCGTGGCGCTCTTCGTCCCCCAGCACCCTGCTCTTCAGCCCGGGCTCCCGGGCGATGGTCGACGGGCGCCTGTCGCGGCCCTCGTCGCGCAGAATGCGCTCGATGCGCGCTTCCTCCTCTGGGTCTTCATGAGGTTCGCCCCGCCAAGCTGCCAGTGGCCTCCCCCCGACGGCAGCGGCGGCCGACAACTCGGGAGACGGACTGGGCGGTGAGAGCTGGGAAGCACCATCTGGTTCATCAGCACACCACAACACAGCCACAACACAGCCACAACCAAACCTTCGTCAGTTGGCTGAGAGAAAGAGGGATGGGCCGTCTTTGACCAGTGCGCCGCGCTTTGTCGTCCGATAGAAACCCCAAACTTACCCATGGTGATCATTGCCGGCTTTCTTCGGCTCGATACTTGAATGGTGCCGTCCACTAGAAGGACGCTGTCCATCCTTTCAAACTGCACCCCCTTCTTGATGTCGTTTTCAACTGTGCCGAAAAGTGGCCGGTATACATGCGGCGCAAACAGGCGGACTCCATGGACACTTTGAGATGTAGTTGGTTGGAGGGCAAGTTCTTTTTCTTCCATGCGTCGCGGACGTAGACCTGGGGGTCCTGCACCATATATAGGGATGAAGTTGGCTGGACACCACCCAAAGAATGGTCCACAGCCAGGTTTTCGTTATCGGCTGCCGCGAAGAGCGTCTTGAAGCTTTTTTTCACCAATGCTTCACGAACGGTACCGCTATGCCGTCCCATTTTTTGTCCTCTTTTGCCGTGGGTAGCGTCATGAGGCCCTCTTTCACCTTCTTTACGACCTCAGGCGTCGTCTTATAGATAGGGTCGGCCTGCATCGTTGTCTGCAGCCAGCACGAACCATGTGCGTGTCTGTTCGGGGCGATGGTTGCTCGCGAACTTGTCGGATGGAGGCGGAAGCCGATCGTGGGCACTATCAGAGCAAGAACGTAACGTTCTGCAACAGTGAGGACGGCCTGAAACAACAAAACCACTTTATGATGTGTATGAGGCTGCACAACCACCTGTTTGCCCCTGACCATGCCTAACATGTCGGCCGTCACCAGTGGCAGCCGCCACTCGTCATCCTCCGCCAGATGTTTTAAGAGCGATGCTGCGGCGGAGGTCGGTGGGCTCGAGTGGGCTCTAGGCCATTCTGCGGCGGGCGAGCTGGTAGTAGGTGACGGTGCAATGAGTGAGGGGGAAGGAGAGCGGGCTGCAGGGAGCGGCAACAAAGGACGAACATCAAGAAATGACGCACGCTTAAGAAGTAATCTAAAATTAGGCGTCTCGCCGTCTCGTTACGTCGAGAATCTCAATTCTCGCCGCCACCTGGCGTCGCGGCATCGCTCCATACTGTCTGTCTGTCTGCCTGTACATGACCCATGCATCTAGCTATACACACAAGCGGACACATGTACGTTCACGTCAGCCAGCCAACCCCCCTACAAAAAGCTGGAGCGCTGTACGTGCGTATCAAATGAATGTACATACGAAAAGGAAACCAACACATATATCGATCGCCAGTCACCCGACGCTCTTGCCCCGGTATAGAATGACTATTCCTGTGTTGTCGCCGTGTGGACCAATACGAGTGTGGATTCCGCGGACAAAGGCCACCCGGAAGAGATTGATGGAACATAGCACGCCTGTCGACAGGTCGGTCCAGCACGAACAACCGCACGAATCAAAAACACCGTGTGTGCAAGGAGGGTCCAGACAAACAAATAGTCAGTCCCAGACAGACAGACAGTCCACTGTGATCGACGCGATATATGTCTGTCCACCACCAACTCAACACACATCCATCCATCCAGCTGCCGAGGGCCCACAGGCACCACCCTCACCTCACACGAGACGGATTTCGTCTCAGCGACTCACTCAAACACCATCCCATCCACACACCACACACCCAACCAACACTCACAAAATAAAACTCAACCATCCAGTGGGCTGCATGGTGTGGCACGGAAAACACTTGCCCCACCCACCCACGCCACTACACACAATCTCATCTCTCGTTTGTTTCCCCGCTCTGTCTTCAATCACTCACGGGCTGGGCATGTTGGGCAAGTCGTCGCCGAATGAGCTGGACGAGCTGCCCTCCGGCACAGGCGGCAGCGCATCCCCCCTGTGCGACAAAACCGGCATTCCTCTGCCCATCCCAACGGCCTGCGTGTGCGCGGCGCTCGTGTAGGCGTAGCAGGGCTGGTAGACGGTGTGGGAGTAGGGTGGGGCCATGGGCGGCTGGGGCGGGGCGGGCAGGGCACTGAGGTTGGGGGGGTGGGAGCCGGGGGGAACGAAGATGTTGTAGTTGTAGTGGTGCTGGTGGATCAGACCCACATTGTGGGCTGCAGTGCATCCAACGGCACAGACACAAACACACACATACACATACACATACACGTGGCCTCGGTCTGTGTGCATCGCATCGATGCCTTTTCCTCCTCTCCTTACTTACCAGTGGTTTTGGACGCCATCATGACGTTGGCATTGTTGGCCGCGACACCCACGCCCCTCCCTGTGGCCATGCCCATGCCCATGCCCATGCCCTCCCCCTCACTCACCGCCGTCGTATCGGTCGTCCGCGGCCGCATCATGCCCGGAGAACCGCCCCCGGCACCTACCACGTCCCTCCTCACCACATGGTGGGCCGCCTCAGCCGCACGAACATGAGCCGCCGTTGTCGGCATGACGTGTGGAGGTCCATGTGCCGTCATCAATCCAGATGGGTCGGGCGAGGTGCCACCGCCCAGAGAAGGCACCACTGGCGAGGGATGAGTGCGGGGGGCAAACGGATGGGGATATGACGCTGCAGGGACCGGGGAGGGGTAGGTGGTGGAGTAGTTGGCAGGGGCCATGGGGCTGGTCCCAGGCGGGTGCAGCAGACCTGCGGCCGGGGACCCGCCGCGAGATGCGATGGATGGTGCGACAGACGGCGCAGCCGACAGGGGCGTGTAATGGTAGGGGCTGTGCAGAGATCCCATGCGGCTGTGTGGAGACGGGTAGGAGGGCGTGGCTGGGCCGGTCTTCTTCTTGGGCCCATAGCCCGGTTCGTAGACCGCGGCCCTCACCCGCCGGTGCCGCTTCACCTGGCTCATGCTCGACACCGTCTGCCCCGCCCTCAGGTGTGTGCCGGACTGCTTGCCCAGGCTGCGTGAGGTGGTGGGAGGGGAGAGGGGGTGCTGCGGGCGCGGCGTGAGCCACGAGATGGAGGGGTGGTCCAGGTACTGTTGGGCGGCGTCTGCGAAGCCGCCGAAGGGGTTGAGAGTCGCCTGGACGTTCTCGGCCCTGACGCCGATGGCGCCTGACCACGACGGCTGCACACAAACGTGGCAGGATCACTTCATTTGGACGCTATGATGATCATCTGGCGTCTTGTCATCTGGCGTCTTGTCTTCTGACCGTGAAGGTGAATCGTCCGATAGTTGCGTCAGCGACCCTCATAGGGATGCCCTCCATCTCCAGAGAAGCGTTGATGTCGTCTGTCCGCAGCCGCACATTCTCAAGGACAACGCCTTCGCGAAACGACACCTGCACATCGCGCCGGGCGTCAAAGTCCTCGAGGAACTCTGCAGAGAACCCCAGGCCAGCCGTTTGCAGAGCACGGAAGCACGGAGCCTTCTGTCTGCTTACCTGAGCCGTGGAAGGCCAGAAACTCGCGAAACATGTTCTCCATCTCGAAAGACTGGAACGAAAGAGGTCAGCAAGGGGCGACGGGCTTGATGGCGTTGTCTGGGCTCTACCTTTCAGCTCGCAAGGCTCGCATCGCTCCGCGCTGCCCTGCTCCCCGGCCGCCCCTTGTGTGTGAGAAATGAGCGGCTCGTTAGACCAATTCGACGAGGATGACGACACCGAGCGTAGAAAAGCAGTTGAGATGCTCGGTGAGCCGCCGGGGGATGACTCTGAGAGGATTGACCCATCGCCACGCACTCTATCGTCCAGCCAGAATGCCACCAACCAGTACAACCGCACTCAGGAGGACGACGCGGCGAGTTCTCTCGTGGTGCCGCCAGATCTCACTGCACAGCCCGATGACAGTGCATGCTGGTCGCCAGAGGGACGGTGGAGGCAGCAATGGGCCAGAAACGGCGAGATTGAGGACTTCAGCCCTCATCAGAGAGCGAGTGCGGCAGCGGCCTCTGCTGCTGTCGGTGGTGGTGTTGGTCGTATAGTTTCATCCCCTGGGCCACCAGGTGCTTTCCGTGGGCAGCAGGGCATAGCATCGGTAGGAGGGGGAGGTGTTGGGGTCGGGTGGGAGGGGACGGCTAGTGCGAGGAGAGAGGAGAGCCCCCCGCCCATCCGTCAGCCATCCGGCAACAACCTGTAAGCCAACCACCGCACCCGCCCATCTTCGTTCGATGCACACAACAAACACAACACAAGCCGCTTTCTCTTTCGCATGTGTGTGTGTGTGTGTGTGTGTGTCAGTTCGTTAGTCCCCCGTGGTGAGCCCCCCCATCGGTCGGTGTCGTTTCTCGGTGGCGTGACGTCCAACATAGTAGAGGACCATGCCAGAATGAATGCGGACCTCTCTCGGCTGCGGGCTGCCTTCGAAGCCACCAAGACCAGCGAGGCCGCGGTGAGTCAGTAACAGGCAAACACACACACACACGGACCATCGGCCCGTTCATTGCCCCGCACTGCTTGTGATGTCTGTGTGTGTTGGTGTGGTCAGTTGAGTGTGCAGGTGGGCGATTTGATGGCGGCCAAGACCAGGGCTGAGAATGACGCCCACAACGCCGAGAGAAGGCTGGAGCAGCTCATCAAAGCGCAAGGTGGCTGCGCATTCACACGAGCACCTCCCAGTCCCACAATCCATTTGTGTGTGTGTGTGTGTGTGTGTCAGGTCGTGGTTTTTCGTACAACAGTTGGCTGGAGAAGGAGAACAGCGGGCTGCAGGGGGAGGTCACCAACCTCCGCATACAAGTCGAAGAGCTTCTCGAGCAACTCTCGCGACAGGTACTTCCACACACAACCACACCACACCCCCTGCTCCACAAACACACGCACAGCACACCCTCGATGTGTGTGCGTGATTGTGTGGATCAGAACACTTGGCACGAGGAGCATGCCGCCGTGTTGGCCAAGGAGGTGGCCGACCACACCACCAGAATCGCAGTGGTATGCTATGCGCAGGCGGGCAGCCGTGGGGGGATGAATGAATGGGTCAACCCGTCCCCCATCCCCCCATCCATGTGTGTGTGATCTGCATGCCGCTCCTTCATTGCTTCTATCAGTCTCAGGAGTTGCACAACAACAAGGACGGCGAGATCGCCGTCCTGCGGAGGGATATCGAGGAACTCAACCAGCGACACAGACAGCAACTGCAGCAGGTAGGTATCTCATCACACCGCCCGTCCATCCATCCATCCATCCCCTCCCGCCCCTCTATCTCTCTCTGATGATCGATCCATCAGGTTGAGGGCCATGCATCAGATCTCGACTCGCACAACCAGCAGCTGCAGCGCACTCTGGCCGACACCAAGCGGCAGCTCGACGACACCTCCCTCCAGCTCACCACCCTGCGTCAGCGGCACGACGACAACGCCGCTCTCGTGCAGGAGAACGATCGTCTCAAGAAGTGCAACAATGGCCTGCAGGAGGAGCTGCTGTCGCTGCGCAAGATCCAGACGCGCAACAAGGGCGGTATGCTGCGGCCCGTCGGCGACATTGTCGATAGGAATGGGGGCGAGTGGGTGTCCACTGCTGAGGTCGACGTCATCGTCGAGCTCGAGAGGGAGAAAATGCACCAGAGAGTCGCCGACCTTCGAGTATGCCAACTGCACCCACACCACACCACACCACACCACACCCTCTCTCTCCTCCTCTCTTTCACACACACACAGGCTGAGCTTGACACGACCAAGGCAGCCCTGATGCAGCTGCAGTACCCGGTGCACCCCCCCACCCCTCCCGCCAGCACACACCGCCCCACGGCCCTCACCGTGGACAGCTGGACCCTCACCGACGTCACCGGCGACATTCGCTCGCTGGCCGAGCGCAACAGTGATGTCGGCGAGGCCGTCGAGGGCGTCCGACACCTCATGGCCACCGAGATTACAGACCTCCGAAAGCAGCTCGAGGAAAAGACGACCGCCCTGCAGGAAATGGACCAGCTCAAGAGGCAGGCCGAGTACGATTCGCACACACACACACGCTCAAGACACGGGAGGATGCAGAGGCCACGTGCTCTGCCTGTCTGGTGTGCGTTCAGGTCGACGGTGGACGAGTTGCTGCAGAACAGCCGGCTGGACCAGGAGGCCTACGCCCAGCAGGCCCTCAAGCTGCAGCAAGACGCCGAGGAGCGCATCCAGCACGAGAGGCAGCTCCTGCGCCTCAAAGAGTCCGAGCTCGTCGCCGCACACGAGGAGGTGCAGGTCCTCAAACGACACGTGGCCGTCAAAACGCCCCCCTCCCCACTCCCAGCCAGGGATCGCCACGACACACCCTGTCAGACAATGCCCTTGCCACAGCCACAGCAGCAGCAGCAGCACCACACGGCCAGCCAGACGGAGGCGCCCGCCCCCCTGTGCGACTCGACGGTGCAGACGGAGGGGTGGTCGGGTGCCTCGCTGCACCCCATGTTGAGCAAGGTGGTCGAGAGGGGGGATGTGGCTATGGGCATCGGTATGGGCAGCCAGAGCGGCGATGTGACACGGACATCGAGCTCAACACAGACGGAGGGCGAAGAGAGGGAGAGGAAGAGGGAGGAGACGGCTGGCAGCCACTCGCAGGACCTCGAGGACAGAAACAAACAGCTCGAGGCTGAGGTAAGCTGAGCTAGCGGGGGGGGGAGAGGGAGGGGGAGAGCATGACAGTCAGTGATCGGCCGGCCCTCTCTCTGTGTGCCTTGTGTTAGGCTCGTGAGCTGCGTCATTTCCTGGAGGAGGTGCAGTCCAACTTCCTCTCCCTCTCAAAGCCCTCCCTGGCCGACTCCGCCACACAGACGCCCCCACCCACCCTCGCCTCCCACACCCCCCCGCCCATATCCATCGCCCCACAGCCACGCGCCCCCACACACTCATCGTCCGCACAGACGGCCTCTCACCGACCGCCACTCAGGTCCGCTTCGGTGCAGGCGGCCCCCGATCCGCCCCACCTGTCCATCTGTGTCGAAACCTCGCTGCACCACCCGCCATCACGCCCCCACTCGACGGCAGTCCAGACAGAGGGGCGGCCGGTGCGCCATCACCCCCTGCAGACGGAGCGGCTCGACATGGTGGAGAGGTGGCCGCGGGGGGTTGCCTCCAAGGGCGTGGCTGCGTGTCCCGATGTCACACACGCGGCGGCCCAGTGCCACCGAGACGACCGCCGGCGTTGTCTGTCGGTGGTGCGGTGTGTGGCCACCCTGGCCATACGCGGCGGCAATGGCAGTGGTGGTGGTGGTGGTGGTGATGGCCAGGACAGCAGCCCGAGCAGCCGTGAGGTGCAGACGGACGAGAGGGGGGATGAGGTGGGGAGGCTTGGCGAGAGGTGGGCCAGGAAGTACCAGGCCAAGAAGAGGGAGCTCGAGAGAGCGCTACTCGGACAGAGAGACCGCGAACGCGCCGTAAGCGACAACCACAGCCACAGCCACAGAAAGGCCAAGCCGCACTGCACCCTCTTCGTGTTTCATGTGTTGCCTGCCATGGCAGGTTCAGTCAATCGAGGCGGTGCGTGACTCGTACAGCAGCCTTGTGTCGCGCTCGGTGACCAACTCCACCCCCCGGTCCCACCTCTCGCTCTCAGACGCCCCGCCCCTCCCCCTCCCCCTCCCCCCCGCATCCGCCCGCAGCCGTCACTCAAACAAGGCCAACACCGAGGACGATGAGGTCGAGTCCTTCGTCGACCTGCTCAAGGACATCAAGGGCATCGGCTCCACCAAGAAGCACGCCGCCACACGGCGAGGGGCGAGTGTCGGTGCGGGTGTTGTGGCGCCCCTGCCTCTCGAGAGAGAGCCGATGATGGCTGTGGCTGCGGGTGCGCTGCACGTCCGGATGAGGCACGTGTGGCGTGAGGTGAGGGAGGTCCGGCGGGAGGTGACCGAGGCCAAGAAAGAGGTGGCCGCCATCCTCGGCAGCAGCAGCAGCCGGGGGGAGGGCGGCGTGTTGCAGTGGGTGTGGGCCAAGATCAACGACCTGGCTTCCATCGGCCGGGAGTACGAGCGGCTGTGGCGCAGCGAGCAGCAGGAGAACACCCAGCTCAGAGACATGCTCGCGTCACTCCAGGCGATGCTCGCCGCCCCAGCCCCTCACACTCACACAGACCGCCCATTGCCGGCACTGCCAGACCCCTCCTCGCCCATGCTGCCTTTGTCCATGGCCACCGTGTCGCCCGATCGTGTGTCGACGAGCCGGACGGCTGGGCGCAGTGCGTTCAGCCAGACACTGTGGACGGGGCAGGTGGAGGAGTGGGTGGAGGCCGAGGCGGGCAGGAGGGCCAACAAGCGCATGACCAAGATGCAGCAGGAGCTGGCGGGTCTGCAGGAGGGTGTGCGTGGGCGTGTGAGTGAGGTGGAGAGGGCGGCAGCCAGGGACAAGGCGGCGCTTGCCTACAAGCACAAGGAGGCCGCACTGCAGATGCGCAACCGATGCCACATGAAGGTAACTGACCCCCAATCATCCCCCCAACCCCCCAACCTCCCAAACACACCCGTTCTCATGTGTGGGTGCAGCTGGAGGACATGCAATCATGGCTACGTCGCGAGCTGGACCGGTCGGAGTCGCGTGCTGGGGTGCTGCAAGGTCAGCTTGAGGACCAGGTGGCCGAGCGGGAGCAGTCGCTGCGCCGCCTGAGGGAGGCGCTCGAGGTCTCCAACACACACATCCAACAGACATTCGACCAACACACCAGGGACAACCGCACACTCAAACTGGTATGCTCCCCTCCCCTCCCCCTCCTCCCTCCGCCCCCACACACGCATGGCACATCGACAAGGATGGGCCCATGATGGTTCGTTCATGCATTGCACTGCAGGAGTATGAGGAGAGGTTGGCTAAGGTGGAGGCGGAGAGGCGAGTGGAGGTGGGCCGTGCGGAGGCGGCTCGTCGCGACCTCGAGGGGACGTGTGACGCGCTGCGTCGTGAGGTCGACGAGCTGCAGCGGCAGCACACACAGATACAGGCCGTCTACCACAGACAGCTGCAGGAGGTAGGTATGGCAGAGAGGGAGGGGGGAGGGAAGGAGGGCATCAGTGGAGTGGATGGCATTGATTTCATGGTGCGGGTGGGTTTGTTGTGGTGCGGTGGGTGCGGTGTGTCAAGGTGAGAGATGAGGCCAAGGGTGACTGTGAGCGTCAGATGGCCGCCGACAAGGCGAACCTGGAAGCCACCCTGCAGCAGCAGCTCAAGGACACCAAAGCACACTATGAGCAGCTGGTACCAGCCAGCCACAGCCAACCAACACACATGGCCCCCACATAGGCAGGCACTTATGCGCGTGTGTGTTGTGTTGTCTGCCTCCTCGTTGTCTGCCTCCTCCTCACGTCAGCTGCGCGCCAAGGGGCAGGAGGCCGAGGTGATAGAAGAGAAAGTCGCCGAGATACAGACAGAGCTCCTACGCCAAGAGCACCAACACAAAGTACACCTTCCTCCCTCTCTCCCCACAGCACACACACACCTACACCTACACCTACACACACACACACACACACACACACACACAGAGAGAGAGAGAGAGGGAGAGTGCCCTGATTGTATTGTGCCTATTAGATTGACCTAGAGGGTCTGACCGAGACTCTCGAGAAGGACCGCCTGGCGTCGGTGAGGGAGCTGGAGCGACGCCTGCAGGAGGCAACCGACGCACACACACGGACGCGCGACAGACTACAGGCTGACTTGGACAAAGCCACCGCCGACACAGAGGTATGCCGCGTCACTGTGGAGGTCATCCATCCATCCATATGTGCATGGCAGAGCCTGGAGAGCCGAGTGACGAGTCTGCAGGATGAGCTGGCGACAGTGCGGGGCGTCCGGGGCTCGCTCGAAGACAAGATCCACCGGCTCGAAGCCGACCTCGCCGCAGCACAACACGCACTCGCACAGAAGGACATCGAACGAAGCCGGTACGTGACACAGACAGCAGACAGCCGCATCGACACTCTGGAGTGTCTGCGTGGGTGTCTGTGTGTTGCCTGTGTGTCAGTGACGACGAGAGGGAGGGCCGGTTGGCGCATGAGGAGGTGCAGGCGCTGAGGAGACAGCTCACGCAGCGGGAGGAGGACAAGAGACAGTGTGATCAGGTGAGGTGAACGATACGGAGGGACTGCACTGCATGGCTGAAGCGAACAATACACACACACACACACATGGCTTCTCCCTAAATTGCCTGCAGGCGTGGCTGGCTAAGTATGAGTCGATGGTCCGCAGCCAGACCGACCTGGACTCGCGAAATCGGCAGATAGCACAGGAACTCCAAGTACACAAACACACAACACCTCCCGCACAGCCACACACATAGAGACACACACACTCTCTCTCCCCTCTGTCCGTCTCCCAGGAAGCCCGGTCCCGCCTTGAGGCCGCCGTCGACGCCCAGCAGTCCATCGAGGTCACGCTGCACGGCACGGAGACCGATCTGCAGGCTGCCCGTCGTGAGTGCGAGTCGCTGCGTGCCCTCAACGGTCGGCAGGATGAGGTGATCGGGGCGCTTGAGAGGCGGCTGCGTGGCTATGAGGCGACTGACGAGGTGCTGGCCAGTGAGCTGCACACAGCCATGGAGACCAGGCTCAAGAAGGAACTCGATGACAACGTTTGTCAGGTGCAACACACACGGGACACACTGATGTCTGTGTCATGATAAAGTAGGTGCTCATCTGTGTGTGGTGTGTAGGTCCGTCGCGACTACGAGAAGCGTCTCGCATCGACGCAGTCTCAGCGAGACGGCCTGCAGCAGCAGCTCAAGACTCTCCAGGAAGCTGTGCAGATGCTCAAGCACCAGACGCAGACTCTCACACCTCCCCGGTCCACCTCTCCCCAGCCCCAGCCACAGGCGGCCCCTCCCAACCCCCAACAACGCGCCGCATCTCTCCCACCCACAGCAAATATTCGCGCAGACCAGCCGCCCTCCAGCTACGGAGCATCATTCCATCGGAGCAGGGGTGTTGACGAGAGGAGGGAGAGGGAGAGGGAGATGGAGAGGGAGAAAGCGGCCGTCATCAAGGAGAAGGAGCGCGAGATAGACAGGCTCGGCAAGGAGCTGCGTGTGGCAGAGGCGCGCGTCAAGGAGATCGAGGGCGAGAAGGCGCAGAGGGACAAGGAGGGCAAGGACCGCCACACCCAGCTCAGGAGCAAGCTCGCCGCCCTCCAAAACGAGCTGGACCGCTTCATTTCAGCCGGTGAGACCGACATCCGGCAGAGGAAGATCCGCGATGAAGCCGACCGTGCGCTCAAGAGCCGAGAGGCCGAGTTTGCGGAGCGGCTCAAGTCCGAGAAGCAGCAGCTGGTTCGGGAGCACCAGCAGCGCATCAAGAAGGCCAAACAGGAGGCGGAGGAGACCGTCAGGGCCATGCAGAGGGACAAGGAGAAGGCCGAGGCCGACCGGATGGCGCTCTTCGAGCGGACCGTCGACGGCCTTGTGGACGTCTTCGACACAGCACGCGACCACCTGACGGCCATCACAGCCGCCGACTCATCCGCAGCAGGGACGTCCGATGACAGTGTCCCATCCTCCTCCTCTCCCCGTCTGCTGCTCTCCCGCCGCCCATCCCCTCTCCGGTCATCGATCGGTGCCCGGGCCCCCGCGCCATTCCATCGGCTGCTGCCCGCAGACGGCTCACCCAAGATGCTCCGATGGTCACTCGTCCACCTTACCTCCGCACATCGAGACAGGAAGGCTCGCAGCAGCGGCAACAGCAGCAGCAGTGGGAGGGCCGAGAGTCCCTTCAGTAGCATGACGGACGACGAGCTGCGGCGCGTGCGGCCGGTGCTGGAGCTGGTGCGCCAGCTGGTGCTGGTGGCGATGGGTGAGGGAATGCGCTGGGCGATGCCGCTGTGGCGGGGGAGGGTCGCGGCCTACCGGGCCATGCTGAGGTTCCACCGGAACGTCGCACACAGGAGACTTAGGAGGGAACGGCAGAAGGTGCGTACACACGGGGTGGGAAGGTGGACAGATGTCTTCTGCTATGTGTGTGGTGTGTTGATTGATGCAGCACGGCCCGCCCCTTTCCTCCGGTGGCCGTGTGGGCGTCCTGGACACCTCCCCGCCCTCACACAGCCCCTTCCGTGGCCTCTCCCCATCCCGTGGTCTCTCCCCCCCTGCCATCATCACGGAACAGCCGCGCCAGCCCCCCCAGCCAACCACCCCCCCACACGCCACCCCACCACCCCTTCTCTCGGTCAAGCGGCGAGAGCCCGATCAGACCTTCACCTTTGCCCGGTCCAAGACTCCCCCCGTCAGCCGGTCACCGAAGCGGGTACACACGAGCGGCCGCACGAGCGACCCTGGGTCAAGATCGCCTATTCGTCGTGACGGCGCACACACAGTGACAGTGGCATCGCTGGGACCGAGCGTGTTGCAGAGGGTGGTGGGGCTGCAGGCCGAGAGGGTGGTGCGGGAGGTGCAGAGAGGGAGGGAGGAGGCCATACGGAGATGTGTGAGGGCCGATGTTCGGTCGCTGCCGCGGTCCCGGACCCCCCCGTTGCGTGAGAGGGAATCCGTGCCGATGCACATGGTGTCCAAGAGCCGCCTGGCGCCACGGGGCAAGAGCGTCGGGTGACTGGCGATCGATATATGTGTTGGTTCCTTTTCGTATGTACATTCATTTGATACGCACGTACAGCGCTCCAGCTTTTTGTAGGGGGGTTGGCTGGCTGACGTGAACGTACATGTGTCCGCTTGTGTGTATAGCTAGATGCATGGGTCATGTACAGGCAGACAGACAGACAGACAGACAGACATGGAGCGATGGCGCGACGCCAGATGGCGGCGAGAATTGAGATTCTCGACGTCGAGACGCCTAATTTTACATTACTTCTTAAGCGTGCGTCATTTCTTGATGTTCGTCCTTTGTTGCCGCTCCCTGCAGCCCGCTCTCCTTCCCCCTCACCCATTGCACCGTCACCTACTACCAGCTCACCCGCCGCAGAATGGCCTAGAGCCCACTCGAGCCCACCGACCTCCGCCGCAGCATCGCTCTTAAAACATCTGGCGGAGGATGACGAGTGGCGGCTGCTACTGGTGACGGCCGACATGTTAGGCGACGGGATAGACTTCCGTCGTGTGCTCTCGTTCGTCAGGCGAACGCGCCAGTGAGAGAGATGTCAGCAGCGAGCAACACTGCATCAGCAGCGGCCTCAGAGCCACACGAGGGAGGCGGATCAGCCGCGGCTCCCACTGGTGACGGCGGACATGTTTGGCATGGCCCATCGCCCAAGTGGCCAAGCAGAGCGGCAACAGCTTTGTTTCAGGAGGGAGTTCGAGGGGAAGGAGGCCGCACTTCATTGAAGATGGTCGCCATCACGCGCAACAGCAAACGGCAGCATCAAGAAGGCCTGCCACACGCAGGTGCGGTCCCTGCAGGCCGAGCTGCGCCACCGTCATGGGCCTCGGAGCGCCGGCCGTCTTCAGGAAGATGAGGGGCGAGGAGGTGCAGTTTGAAAAGCAGTGTACCTTCATTGCCATGCCGTGGCTGAAGAGTAAGTGTGCAGAAAGAATCATGAGAAGAAGGCCTTATTCGTGGTGGAATTTGTCCTCTCTGTGTGTTTTGTCCACAGTTGGTGTGCCGCGGGAGGGCGGCACGCATTGCGACGTGTACAACTTCCCTGACAACAGGCCGCCGACGCCATCTACGAGGTGTCGATGGCCGTCCGCAGCGCAGGGCTCTTCACGCTCGGACACATGTCCTGCGCGTCGGCCCACACCTACGCCATCGACAACCTCAATAAGGACGTGTTGCTCAGCTGGGAAGCCCTGCAAGAGGCGGCCACGTTCCGCTCGGTGTTCCCCCCTCCCCGTCCCTGAAGAGGTGGGTGGGTACATCTGCGCCTTGCCACGCCACACGCGTTTATTTGTCTTTGTCTAACAGCAGTTGCGGCACCTGAGCCACAGTCAGGTGCTGCAGCTCGTGAACCAACTCGACGAGAGCGGCCGCAACATGCTCATGCAGATACGGTGGCCCTGAGCCACAATCAGCTGCTGGAGCTCGTGAACCAGCTCAGCGAGGAAGGCCGCGAGATGCTCATGAACCGCATCTTAGAGGAAGGGTTGGGTGGTGAGGACCGACGCGAGCATGAGGAGCCTCACGCACACAGTCGGCGACACGGAGGTCAGAATGGAGGAATGCTGACTGACGTCACAATGCGTCAACGAATTTTTCGCTGTCTGTTTCCGTCACATGTCTGTATGCAGCCGCCGACTCTCCCCACAGCGAGGCCGGCTGAGGCGGACACACCCGTCAGACGTGTCGAGCTCTCCATCGACACCGGACGACCAGGTACCTCAACCAACACATGGCACTCTCGTGCTGCCAATACATACGCTGCTCTATGTGTGTCCGTGTATATATGGTGCGCCTTCAGGTGAGCGGGTCGACCAACGTCCTGGCCACTGCTGGGGATGTGAGCGCGGTGGGAGAGCGGACGGCTTACCATCGCAGCCCCGGCAGCTCAACGACCGACGAGGCTGTGCCTTCGTGGGGATCGCCAAGATTTGGCCAGTGTATGGGCGGGCCCACAAGCCATCGCTGCCTCCATTTTATATCACGATGTCTCTTTGGCTCTTGTGCATGGCAACCGACCGACCTCTGTCTGTGTGTGTGTGAATGTGTGTGTGTTGCGTCTCCACTCTTGAGCAAAAAGCAAGACTCCGACTTCTTTGTGTATGCGTGTGTGTGAGCAAATCGATCAACCAACCAGCTGTACACGGGACGGATAAAGTGCATCCAAACGCAGTGGTCTGCAATACAGTGAGCCACGGCCATACACACACACACACACACGAAGCGTTTCAGTCCACACTAGCTGATCCACCTCCACAGACTCTCGATGCAGATCGCATCTCCAGAGGTCCACATCTCGTGCATGTCCGACAACAATCGCACCAATGTGGCCATCGATTCCACCGATGGCCAAAGGGATGCGATCGCTGAGGGACACGTCCGAAATGTAACCACCGAGGGGCGCTCCAACCAATACCAGCTGTCAGCTGCATAATACGGTGTCTACCTTGGCACATACACACTCAACACACACCCTTTTCTCCCGTCCGCTGGCCTGGCCTACCCCCGCCCCCCTCCACCTCCGCCACCGCCCCCTCCATATCCGCTGCCCTGCGGAAACCCCCTTGGCACCTGCTGTAGCGCCCTCTGCGCAGCCATCATCCTGGACAGATCCTGCTGCTGCTGCTGGTACTGCTGCTGGTGCTGCTGCTGGTGCGGCATGGCCATCTTGGCCATCTGCTGCTGGAGCTGCTGCATGTGGTATGCTGCAAAAGGGGCGCTCATCGGCTGCCGGGAGAGCTGCCCGGATACCGGCATTGTGGGGGGCATCGGGACCATCTGGGGGTACACCCGGCCGTGGCCGCCCATGACGGCGGGGGCATAGGGGATTGGGGGTGGTGCCCCCGAGCGGCGGGCGCCTGCGAGATCATGCATCAGAGAGGGCATGGCAGGCGGTGATGGCCTGAAGGGCTGCTCGACTTTCTTCTTCTTGGCCCGCAGCTGGTCGGCCTCCTCGCCGGGTGGGCTTGGGGTGCCTGACGGCGGGGGGCTCCGCTTCTTGGTTGGCTTGCGGGGTGCCGGCATGGGCCGCTGGAACTGCATGGCGTCCATCAGGGGGCGCCTCAGCATCTCTGCACGAAGCTGCTGAGCGTGGCTGGGGGGGCGGACGTTGATCTGAAAGAGAATCTTCTGCCTGTGGATGGACGGAGAAGGGGAGAATGGAGTTGCCTGTCAGTCTGTCAGTCAGTCTGTCTGTCTGTCGTTCCTCCCATTCTCACTTGATGACTGGTGGGAGCTTTTTGCCTTTGCCGATGTCGATGAAGGCCCGCAGGTCGGCCAGCTGCCACGACATCCACTCCCTGTCCAGCAACCGGTTCGTGCGGGACACCTGTCCACATGAAGCACAGACACACAGCCATGCACATCACATCACATCACATTCACACAGCCGCCACCCCCACTCCACTCCACTCTTTTCGCTCACATTCGACTCGGTCTTCTCGAGTTTTTCCGCCGTAGTGAGCTTGCGCCCAGCGCCCTCGCCCTCCCCCTGTCGCCTCTCAGCTGAGGTGGGCGACTCCCCCTCACCCGATGGGCCGCCCTCCGCACCCTTGTCGGCCTTGTCGGGCTGACCAGAAGGAGACGAGCGCGGCCATGAGGAAAAGTGCTGGGTGGCTCTTTGCCTTTGTCAGGTCATTTCGCTCACCCCGAACAGGTCGTCGTCCGATCCGATGCCGAGTGCTTTCCGCAGGGCCTCGTTGGCCGTGTCACTCGACGCCTTTGCCTTCTCAAGCACCTCAGTAGCCTTGGCCTACACCAGAACACACGCGCACACACAGAAGAGATAGATGGTCTGAGACAATGTATGTCCTCATGTGACGATGTGTCCGACAGCACCGTTTCAGCGATTCTCGGGGATGGCTCCTGCTCGTTTTCCTTTGGCTTTGGGGGCTCCTCCGGTGGCGGCTCGTCGCCGCCGCCCTCCTTCTTTTTCTTCTTGGACGCCTTGGCCTTGGCTTTGGCCTCAGCCTGCTCCTGCAGCATCACACGGCGCCGCTCATCGTCCTCGCGCATCCTCTGAACACACACACACACACACACTCCGGGGTGGCGGGTGGCGGTGGGCGTGCTCACCTTGACGTGTGCGTCCCTCCGCTTGGTGTCGAGCAGCTCCAGCTTCTTGAGCTCGCCATACGGGCCATACATCTGATGGACGACACACAACGCCACTCACTCACCGGCTGGCCTTCCATTGGCTTCATGTACACACACAGTCAGCTCACCATCTTGACAGGCCAGCTGTTCTGCTGCAGTGCCCCAACGTCATCCTGGATGCGCACGTCGCCGTCGGGCAGCCGCCCCCTGACTTTGCTGAGCTCCTTAGGGCCGGCGCGTGTGCCGGTGCGGGCGCGCTTGAAGAACTCCAGATCCTCCGACACCACCCTGGTGATTTGATTGACACACACACACACACACACACACACACGGGGTAAGTCGGCTGCGTGCGTGTGCGTGTGTGGATGGAGGTGCGTGCCTGAGGAAGTCGAGTGTGGTCTCCATGGCTGTGGTTACGGCGTCGGGCTTGATGTCCCTGACCCCATATTTGCTCCCGATGACCTTCATCTTGACCCCCAGGTCCTCCTTCAGGCTCGCATACGCATCGCGCCTCTGCCGGGGAGCACCCGGCGCACCGGGTAGAGGGAACATGCGATCCCCCGCCGCCACAGCGCTGACGGCACTGAGAGCGTCGCCCAGGTCGCCGATGGGCTTGTTCTTCATGAGCCCCCCGGTCTGCTGCTGCAGGAGGGAGGAAGGTGCCTCTCGCTTGATGGCCTGGGCGGCGAGCTGTGCTGAGGTCGGGGGAGGGGACGGCGAGGGGGAGGGGCGGGGTGGGTCGGTGCGCGGCAGAGGGGGGCCGGCTGGGGCGCCTGCACCGCTGCCTGAGGCAAACCTCTCCTTCACCTGCACAGAGACCAATTCAGAGTGCACCGTTCATGTGCGGAGCTGCGACGCTCCTTGCTGTCTGTCCTCTTGGCGACCTTCCAGACAAACTGCTCGTACTCTCCGGGTCGGTTCCTGAGCAGCTCAATGATGAGAAGCCCCAAGTAGCGCCCAACGGTTTGCATCTGAACACATACACACATACGTACAGAATATGAACCTCCCAACGACACGACGTCCTCCCTCCCTCCCTCCCTCCGTCCTCCCTCCCTCCCTCTGTTCTCTTGTTCATTCAGCGCCCCCACCCACCTCACCTGTCCCGGGTCGGCCCTCCATTGGTCGTACTTGCGCAGGACAGGGGCGAGGCGCGTTTCGTACTGCTGCCGCAGCTCCGGCCACCTCTCCTTGTTCCACTCCTCCATCACACTCATGCACAGCTCAGGCCGCTGGACAAACACACTCGAGACCCTCACCTGTGGTGGACCATCACCCTGCTGCTGCTGTGGCGGTCCTTGTGGCTGTGGCTGTGGCGCCTGCTGCTGCTGCTGCTGCCTCTGCGGGACGGGCGAGGGTCGCCGCATCACGTCTGCCGCAGCCATGCTGGACGGTCCTGGCTGCTGCTTGCCGCGCGCATCGAACGGCATGGCGCCTGGCCTGCTGGGTGCGCCCGTCTGCATCATCGGCTGTCGCTGTGTGGGCTGCTGGGAGGGCGGGCGGCCGCTGAGGCCCTGGGAGTGGCCCGTGTGGTACGGGTAATAGGGAGGGCGAGGTTGGGACGACATCGTGTGCGTTGGTCAAGAGGGAGATCCGCTGGCGTTCGTGACGTCCGCTCTAGCGGTGCCTCAGCTTCGGGTCGTTTTTCATCTCCAGCTCCATGCCGCCAGCTGCTTCGAGATTATTCGAGATTCGGCAGATCTCTGCGGTCGAAGTCTTCCGATGGACGAGTGTGGCTTCCCTCAAGCCAAAGATGAACAGGATTTTTTGCGAGCCCATATGCATGGAATGTGTTTATACCCTACCCTACCCCCATTCAGCTCGCAGGAAATTTTTGGCTGTTGATTCGTTCGCTCGTTACCGGACACCGTAGTCCCGGCCCCTGAGGGCTGGAGAGGCGTTGAAGATGCCGAGCAAGCGTCGTAACAACGGCCGTTCCAAGCATGGCCGCGGTCACACCTCCTTCATCCGCTGCTCCAACTGCGGGAGGGCCACACCCAAGGTGACTGAGGGGGGGGACACACACGACACACAGGGACGCAGGAGGGGGGAAGGGAGGAGGGAGGAAGGCCAGCGTGGCAACAGAGGGCGAGGTCAGCGAGTGAGGCCGGTTGAGGGCAGGGTGGCGACATGTCGACGAGTCAGGAGGGCGGCTGTGGATCAGGGGAGGGCAGGGAAGAGATCTGTCGGTCATCTGTCGGTGCACTTGGACCGCTCTGTTGTCTGTGCGCGTGTGTCTGTATGGTCATGTCTGCAGGACAAGGCTGTGAAGCGTTTCAACGTGCGCAACATCGTCGACGTGTCGTCCCAGCGTGACATCAAGGAGGCCTCCGTCTACGCAAGTAACACCACGAGACACACACACACGGAGAGACCCAGACGCAGATATCTAGATCCACACACACATCCACTTCACTCCTCTTCCCCTGTGTGTGTGTGCGTCCTTCTCTGTGGCCATCGGTTGATTGCAGCGTACAGCCTTCCGAAGCTGTACATCAAGCAGATGTATTGCATCAGCTGCGCCATCCACGCCCGTATCGTCCGTGTGCGCAGCTCCGAGCAGCGCAAGAACCGCGAGCCGCCCCCCAGGTTCGGGCAGCGGCCGCAGCAGGGCGGAGGAGGGCCCAGGTAGACGTAGACCTGACGTGTTGTGAGGCTCGCTCGGCTCGGCTGGGAGATGTGTGGGCGGTTTGCCCTCTCTCTGTGTCGAGTGCGTGGCGTGGAGTGGCGTGGGGTGATTTTCTTGCAATGATGCGTGAGAGGTGTGTGGGTGGGTGAGTGGATGGATGGATGGATGTGAGGATTCGGTCGAGCAGTGGGCCCATATGTGTGTGGACCCGACGTGTGTGAGGTGGTGTTTCAAGCAGCAAGTGTTCTTAATTGCGATGCTTGCCGTTCGTTCGTGTCCGAACACACAACAAGCAGCTTTACAGTCAGTCAGCCAGTCGCACGCACACGTCACCTGAGATGGAACCACAGCCAGCTGAGATGCGCTCGAACCACACACTGCCTTGCGAGGAGCATCGGTATCGCCCGTCAGGTCTGAACATTTTGCGCTTGACGGTTGACGCAGACGCCACAGGCAACGGTGGGTGCAGCCAAGCAACATCGATGACTGCCGGCAGTAAGTACTGAGGATAACACGCATTCGCAGACACGATCAGTGGTCCATCCACCCACTCGCAATCCGCAACCCATGATGCACTCTCACCTCAAAACGCAGTCAGTCGGTCAGCCCGTCAGCCAGACAGACAGAGGGGTCGTTGGATATCCAGGTCATTGTTATTGTGAGAGAGAGATAGCGATAGAGAGGGAGACAGTGAGAGCATCTGCTGTCCTGCAGATCAGCCCTACACCACCCAGCCAACACCACACCACACCACACCACACGAGCACACCACCCCCTTTGGTCGTGGGAAGCTGTCTTCTCGCGTCGGTGGAGTGTCTGTCTGTCTGTCAGTCTTGGTGCGCGGTGGGCGGCCTCGTATGTCACCATTCATTCTATCATACAATTAAAGCATTCATTCAGGCGTGCAGACAACACATACACACACACACACACAGGCAGAGGCAGGCAGGCAGGCAGGCAGACAGGCTAGGGGTGGTGACACGTCGAGAGGAAAGACCGATCGCTCCTCGATCAAAAATGGGCAGAGATGGATCGATAAAGAAGGCAGACAGGCAGGCACGCGACCACCTGGTTGTTGTCTGGACGTATTCACATGTCTGTCATGAATTCCACCATAGTATGTCGTCGCTGTCTCCACCCCTTGTGTTTTCAGATGTGTGTGGCTCCTGTGCCTGTCACCTGCCTTTCATAGCAGCATCCGTCACTGTTTGTGGGCAGTGAAGTGCTGCTAGGCCAAGACAGAAGACAGGAGCAGATACCACACGCAATCGAAACACACTTATCGATCCCGTACAGGTAGGTGTGCTGCATTGCCCCGGCTCTCTACTCAGACGCCCCCGACGACCTTTCTCGCCCCTCATGCGTCGAAACAGAGAGACGAGGGAGGTCATCGAGCACCTCACAGTAGAGACGCCCGAGCTGTGCCCACACACCCAAGCCCAATATCGACACCCACAGCGATGGTCCATCCTCACGGCTAGCCTGGCCCCTCACGCCACGCAGAGACGGATCTGATCGGAATGGATAGATGTATACGGTCAGCCAAAACGGTCAGATAGCGAGCGGGCCAGAAGGAAAAAGTAGGCAGACAGACAGATGACTTCTGTGCGGGCGGCGCGCGGACAAAAATCTGTCCCGGCTATCTGACGCCCCCGCCCCCAGGGCGGCACACACGGAGTCAGCGAGAATGAAAGCAAAACAGACGGACGGACGGACGGAGGGACAGGCGTGATGGCAGTCGGTAAGCCGCACGTGGGGGGGACATTTGTATGCATGCATGTGAATGGTCGTCACTCAGTAAGTAGCCAGTAGTAGGTAAGTTAGTAGAAGGGGTCGTCGTCGTACGGGGGAGGGGGAGCGGGGGGCACGCCACCGCCCGCTGCGCCAGGGCCACCCGGGGGGGCACCACCGCCACCGCCCATACCTGACAGACACGTATCAACACCCATACACACATCACAATTCATGCACACCATGATCATGATGTGTCTGTGTGGGTATCCTATCCTCGTCTCGTCTGTGTGTGTGTGTGTGGGTACCGAGCAGCCCTCCCAAAAAGTAGTTGGCGCCAAACATGTTGCCGTATCCGTAGCCGTCCAGAAACCCCTGCGCCAGTCCCACCGGTCCGTCCTGCTGCGGCGGGGGCGGGGGCGCCTGGTCGCGGTCAGCCACCTGCACCGAAAACGAACGCGCCGGCCTGCACACACACACACACGATGATGCAGCGTACGAAGATATTCCCTTGCTCTCGTCCGTTGTCACCGTTTCTTGGCCTTGGCTTTGCCCCGGCCCTTCCTGGGCGGTGGCTTGTACTGCGGGTTGGGCGACGCGCGGATGTTGTTGACCTTGACGCGACACACGGCTGATGAACCAACCAACCACACGCATACACGTGGATCCGTGCGTGTGTTGTGGTGTGGTGTGCTGTGTGTGTCGGGATGTGTGCGTACGGCATGAGTTCTCCTTGGCGTGAGTCCACTCCCGCACGCAGCTGTAGCAGAAGGTGTGCTCACAATGGAGGTGAGCCTGCACACACACACACACACATATCAGGACAGGGGAGAGCAACAACACGGCTTGCAATGGTGCGTACACCTGCCCTCCCTGTCTCTGTTAGAAGTGTCGCAGTGTCTCTCTGCCGATGTGTGTGTGACCAAGAGCCTCGCTGCCGTGCCCTTTTCCCCTCCTACCGTGTACTGGTTGGTCTCGCGATAGATGTCCTCTAGGCAGATGGAACACTCGAGCTGTGGCAGAGAAACCTCCTCCTCCTTGTCCACACCCTCCCCGCCCTCAGCTGCAGCTGCTGCACCCGCCGCCTTGCTGCGACCCTTCGCCTTGGCCTTGGCGCCTCCACGCTTCCTCGGCTTGGTTATCTCCTTCTTGGGCACATCATCGGCCGTTGCGGCAGCCGCAGCCGCCTCCCTGGCTTGCCTACGCTTCCCTGCCGCTGCCGCAGGGCCATCGCCGCGAGTGTTGTCACCCACAACCATCAGCGACACAGCGGCAAGGGAAGGGGACGGGAGGGGTCGAAGGAGTGAACGGAACAACTCTTTGCAGTGCACAATCACGCCCTGCGGCAAGGGGGAGAGCCGTGCAGGGCGGAGAATGCGATTTTCGACTGGGGAATGGGAAAGGGTTTAGATCGCACAAACCCTGTAACCCTACGCAGGGGGACGAATCCTTCTTGGGGCACTAGAATTGCGATCGGTTTTCCTCTATTTCACTCTTACCCTTTGAGCTCCGCTCTGAGCTCCGCTCCGAGCACTGCTCATCCAACCCGTCGAGTTGTGGGGCCACCCCATTCGCTGCTGGGAAACCTCAATGGAAGCGAAGGCTCCCCCAATGGACGCGCTCGGCGTCAGCCTGAGGCCTTCGGCTATCTTTCCCGAGCGACAGGCCAGCGTCCATAGCAGCCGGATCAGCGCTTCCAGAGAGCCGACTCGGAGGGCGGCATCGGGAGCCTACAAGCTCATGACGGCCGCCGTGAGGTGAGGCAAAAGGCAGATCCATGTCGGTGTGGTCCTTGTGCGGCATTCACTGTTCTGTGTTTGTTTGTTTGTTTGTTTGTTTTGCATGCAGACGCTTCTCTGTCCTTCGGTCTTACACGCCTGCCGCCCTCAGCCCCGTCTACTCAAGAGCCAGAAGTTTTTTCTCGAGCCTTCGGCCTTCGTTCTTCTCGCCCGGCGCCACGGCTGAGAGAGAATCGGCGCGACAGACGCCCACAGACGGCACGCCTGGCCTGAGCAAGGGAGGGGTGGACCTGTTCCCGAGCTGGGAGAAGGAGAATGAGGGCGCCATTGATAGAGAGCAGGTCCAGTCCTTTCTCGCGGCAGCAAGAATTGCCCCCCTCGCGCCACCACCGCATCCACTTGGCAGGCGGCTGTTCATTCCTGGCAGTGCGAAAGCCGTGTCGCTCTCGCGCAACGGCAGATGGCTTGTCCTGGCAATGATTGATGGCCACGTGTTCGTCTACGACGCTCTCGAGCGAGAGAAGCTATTCGAAGACAGGATCCATATCGATCAGCGGCGCAATAAGGGAGGCGGCCTTGCGATCTCGGATGACGGGAGTCGCGTGTGTGCGCTGGACGGCCAGGGGGGGCTCCACATGTGGGACGTCAAGACGAGCAAGAAGGTCGCGGGGGTGAATGAAGGCGGTGGCTGGATGTCTCGCATTCTGTCGGACGTTCAGATGGACTCAAGAGGGAAGATCATCCTCACGGGTACATGACATTCAATAATTGCTCATTGATCAAATGTATGTTTTGTCGGCTCCTCTTGCCCTCAGGAGGAGACGATCTGGCTGTATTTGCTTTCGCGGACGGGAACTTACTCCACCGACACGACTGCGGCTCTCCTGTGCGGTGTCTCGACCTTTGCGGGGAGAGCGAAAGAGTCATTTATCCGCGATCGGCCCTGTCTCCATCCTCGTCCACAACCCCCTCGCCAATCTTGCAAGCGATAGCCGCGCCCAGCCCGGCGCCAAGTCCGTCGTTGTCCATCATTCGCATGGCCACGCAGGAACTCCGACGAGACCTGCGACCCGTGTCCTCGGTGCCATTCTCCGCTGTGTGTGGTGTGGATGATGGGAGCATCCGGCTTTTTGACCTGATTGACCTGAACGAGTACCGTGTCATCAGGGGGCACGCGGGGCCTATCAGGGCCATCGCGGCGTCGAAGAATGGTCGATTCATCGCCACTGTGGCGCAACGGACAGGCGTACTCAAGTAGGCTCAGGACCTTGTGTGGTCACTCCTTTTGATGTCGCCTTTTCTTTCAATTCTGTTGCAGGCTATGGCAAGGTGTGAGTGGATGTGAGGACAAGGCTTTGCAGCCCCACACAACAGACAAGGAGCCAAACGACTCGCCAACCTTTTTCACCTCGGTGGCCATCAACGACGACGGCGAGACAGTTTATGCCGGGGACCGCACCGGTGGGGCTCACCTCTTCTCGACCGAGACAGGCAGCGAGGAAAGGGACCTCCGACTGCACGAGGGAGAGGTGAGAGCGGTTGCGATGAGTGGCGACGGCGGTATCCTTTGCACACTCGGCAGTGACGGTTGCATGTGTTCTGCTCGCATTCCGAGCGAGGAAGTGCAGCTACCTGGGCATACGAATAAAGTGCGGCACCTCGTCATAAGCGAGAACGGCCAAGTGGTGGCATCTGTGAGTGATGACAATGACCTCAAGTGAGAGGGAGACGGGTTCTCTTCGTCAGCACACACTAGGGATGCCTATGCTTATACACGTCAGGGTGTGGTGCGTCAATCCCTTAACGTCATCCGGCGGATCTGCTCACCCGCTGACGGCGCTGGACAATGCCGATGACGCCGTCGAGAGCTGGTGCCAGTTTCCGACTTCAATCACAGCCCTTGCAATGAGCGTAAAGGGGGACTTCCTCGCCCTTGGTGACACTGATGGCTACGTTTGTCTTCATTCGACGGCATCCCTTATGGCTGCTACCCAGAGCTCGCCCACGAGCAACAGCTGCAGCCCAACAGCCGACCGCATGACCTTCTCAGTCCACTCATCTTCGCCACACCAAGACGACTCACCCCCAAGCCTCAACAGCAACTTTGCAGCCCGCACACCCCCAAGCGAGCAGCCTTCGGTGCCGCCGATGCCATCGCCTGGCAGCGAGATTTCGGGGGGGATGCGGAAGAGCCTGCGGTTCACCGTCACTTCCCCAGACGAGACCGACGGGGACAAAGACAAGAACAAAGAGACAGCACCGGCGCCAAGTCGTGGCAAAGGTGACGACGCACCGGCTTTAAGGCGAGCGCCGTCGTTGCGGTTGCCGCTTGGAGGCCGAGATGGGAAGAGAGAGAGCGAAGTGGATGCAGCAAAGCCGCCCCAGCCATTGGTCAAGTGGGAGGCACACGATGACTGTATTAGTGCTCTCGCCATGCAGGTACGCGTATTCACGCCAAGAGGGCGGTGAGGGAGGGCCATCGTCCCATTGCGTGTGTTGAATGCGCTGGTAGACGAACAAGCGGATCGTGAGCGGTTCGCCGGATGACACCTCCGCTGTGTTTGTGTGGGACGGCCTGAGTGGCGAGGTGGTGGCACGCTGCGAGGGCGAGATGGGCCAGGTCAACGGTGTGGCTATCAACATGGAGGCGATGATTGTCTTAGCCGTTGGCGACCAAGGAGACCTCAGAATCTGGGCAGCGGAGACCGGCGAGCCTTTGTGTGTGATCCTCTCTGCACATGTCGGTGAGGCCAATTGCCTGTGTCTTTCCCGCGACGCCCTCACCGTCGCAACAGGAGGGGACGATGCCCTCATCCGTCTGTGGAGGGTCGAGCATCAGCCACAAACACCCAAGGGTGCCAAGTCACCGAGACACCACGAACATCCCCCTTCTATCGACCTGACGACACGCGAGAGGCGGTCCTCGATCATGCTTCCGCCAGTCGGAGGAGGGGGACGGCGTCGATCGTCCGTCGCCGTCCCTCCCCCCGTCCAGCGGCCGCATCGACTATCCAAGACCCGCAGCCCAAAAAGCGGGGGTCAGAGGAGCCCTAAGTCGGCAAGCAGGCGGATGCAGCAGGCGTCCACTCACACTCTGTTCACGCCGACATCCAAGGGGGACAGGCGGCCGTCCCTTGGGTCCAGGGGCTCGAAAGACCGGCGCCAGTCGATTGGAGTGGCAATGCGTGAGAGACGGCACACACGAGGACGACCTGTCGTGGCTGATGTGTCCTTACCTTTTGACGTGTCTGCAGTGGCTGGAACGGTCATTGATAAGCCTCGGCCCTTCCGTGTGCTCCGCGGGCACGTTGGTCCTATCGCCTGCATCTCCTGCGACGACACATGCCACCTGCTGGCGTCGGTGGCCCACGAGGACGACGGCATGGTATTCATGATGCGAATTCCATCCCATCGCCTCCGAGTCTCCTATTTCTTTTGTGTCGTGTCTTATGGACAAGGTCTTCCTGTGGGAGTCTACACAAGAGACACCCATACAGGTCGTTGATAGGCACTACCAGTCAAGCACGCTGCAAGTGGCCCTGACCAGTGGGCGTCTCGTGGCGACTGCCGACAGACGAGGCCGCCTGCTCCTGTGGAGGGTCAGCTCCAGACATTGTTCATTGATTTGCACTGGTGGACTCACTGATTTGCCTGTGCAGGTGAATGACAGCCTTCTGTTCCACTGGCAGACCATCATCATCAGATTAGAACAGCTCTGGTCCAAGGCCATACAGACGAGATATGACGTGCAGTTTCACATGGACTCCCACCTGAACTTGCGTGCCGTTGAGGGCATTCGCAGTGCGGAGGCGATGCTGGCATTGGAACGAGATAACATCATCTCGATGCTCCGCGCGAACAAGTCCCTGGCCTGTCAACGCCTGTGGCCCGTCAACCACTCCCTGGTCACTTACCTCGTCCAGATGGGCAATCTCCCGGGCCTACAACTGTTGTTCGAAGCCGTTGGAGCGACACCGACTGGCTTTCTGCCGACGGTCATGAAAGAGACGGCCTTGGACATCGCTTTGAGGCTCCGACAGTACGAGGCGCTTGACGTGATGCTCAACGCTGCCAGGCAGTGGCGCACCAATACCATGAGTGAACGTGTCTCCGCCGCGATTGGTACGATCGATGCGCAAGGTCTGCTCACCCTTCTCTTCTTTCTATGATGCAGTGCGTCTGCTGCCCGTGGAGCTGAAGCATCTGCCTGCATTTCTCGATTCTCGTCTGCGGTCGCCGTCTCGGGTTGCTGGCGAGAATCCGCCTCAGGTGACAGACAGAGTGTAATATGCAAAGGAGACATGCAAGCGGAATTTCTTTCAATTGTTCTTGACGCCTCAGGTGACAGTGCTCCCCGGCAGCGCCCTGAAGAGCATCCACGCACACCACCGGGCCAGCAAGTCGCTGCGTGTCGATGGGGCTGACGCCCCAGGCATGACGCCTGAGGAGTACTCAGCTCATCTCGCTCCGCAGTTCAGTGATGTGGACCGCAGGCGGCCGCCAAGGCAGCCTCTCCACAAGGAGCCCTCCACGTTTCCTCCGAGCCAGAGTCGCTTTTTGGGCCGCATCAGTCTTGTGATGGCGCAACGTGCGGCTGAAGATGAGGAGGAAGAGGACGACTCTCCGTCCCACAGGGGAAGCTGGAGGGCCAAAGCCGACACGGGATATCAACACATTGACATAAGACATTTCGGTGAGAGATACATGCGAACCGTCGTCGATAGGTGCGCCAGTGATGGGTGTCGTTTCGCTGGATTACTGCAGATCTTCCAAACATCATGAACCCAACGGTGAGCGGTGGCTTCCTGCGGCATCTGAACCAAGCTAGTACACAGGACCTCTTCCGCACCCTCACTGTACGCGCCATCCTCTCATTCAAGTGGCAGGTGCGCTTCCCTCGCTTCTGCACAGATCGTCCGCGCAAAACCTACGTGTCTCCGCGTGCTGAACTGCAGAAATACGGCGGCCCTATGTATCGCCGGCGGCTGCTGCTGCAGCTGCTCTTTTTGTTGGTGTTCTTCATCCACTCATGCGTCATCGTCAAATATATGGGAGACGACTGGCGAGAGACAGTCAGGGTATGACGGCAAAGCACAGCGCAGCACAGCCACATTGTATCTCGTCTGTTTGCTCTGTGTGTCGCACATTAGAGTTGGAATCCGATGTGGGGGTGGATCACCGCCGCCGCGCGACTGCTGCTCATCATTTTGTCGCTCTTCCTCGGACTCAAGATACTTTTGCTCGTCAGAAAACGGGTGAGTGAGCGAGAGCCATAAAGTGATGACAACATGACGACATTCGTATCGTTTCCTGTGTTGGGCCGACAGCACTTTAGGGCGTTCTTTTCCGTGTGGACTTGGTTGGACATATCTGCCTGTGTCTTTGTCATGGCCTTCATTATATGTGAATACCTCGATTGCGACAGGAGGTGGGCGATGTAGTTAATGGCACATCATTCGGTCCGTCTCTCATTTCCCTCGTGGCTCTGCAGCGTCGAAGCCATGCTGTCGTCTATCACGGCGGTGCTCCTGTGGTCGAAGATGATATATTTTTGCAGGGGATTTGAGGGCACTGGTCACCAGATCAGAATGATACAGGTAACTGAATCATGGTATAGGGCTGACGGACAGGACAGTCAAGTGCATGGATGTGTCACGTGTCGTGCAGGAAGTCGTTTACGACATGAGACATTTCATAGCAGTGATGCTTATCATGATTGTGGGCTTTGGTCACGCTTTTCATGTTCTTTATTTACACCCAGGTGCCGCTTACAAGAGACACATTTACGCGCACTGTATAAAGATGACTTCACTTTTTTTGCAGGCTACTCGCGTCCCTCCCAGTGGGTTGAGGCCACGGCCGTCTCGTCAACGCTCATTTTTCTGACCAGTATTGGCGAGTTCTACGAAGACGTTGTTTCCCCGGAGATTCAGGTACGACAGGACACACACTGCAACGGCCGCTTGAGTTTTGTGTCTCCATAACTGCTCACAGGATCCGTCCCCGCACTTCTTGAGAGGCTTCCTCATCTGCGTTCTGTTCGTGCTGGCGACCTTCTTTGTGACGATCGTCATGTTCAACCTGCTCATTTCCATCATGGGTGACACCCACGACAGAGTCAAGCTGCAGGAGATCGTGGCGCAGAACCGAGAGAGGGCCGAACTGCTGCTGGAATACGAACAACAAGTGGTACTCCAAACAGAGAAGGAGAGAGACTCCCACGTGACCCATTGATGCATCTGTGTACAGCCGCGTGGAGCATCTTCTCTGTTCCCACGTTATCTGTTTGTCGGCCTGGTTGGCAGCAGGGGGCTGCATGAGCTGGACGAGCAAGACGAATGGGAAGGTGAGCCGCCAGTCGAGGCGAGAATGAACAGCGTGATAGGCTATGTCCGGCGGCGGTTGGTGTGTTTCTACAGGTCGGCTTTCTCAGATGAAGAAGGCCGTTCGGGCTGAGCTCGCCGAGCATCAGCAGAACGTCGACAAGAGACTTGAAGTGGTCAGCAAGCCTAAGCCGAGAGAAGGAGATGTCTTGATTGAAAGATATGTGCATGTCGTTTTGTGCAGTTGCGTATGAGCAACCGTGATGCGGTTCGCCGGTCGATCCAAGAGGCACTAGCTGAGGACATGGCAAGTCGGCTCGAGGTAAGCCCACATGAGACACAGACTAATCAAAAGAGACCAAAGAGACATGAAGAGATTCGTGTTTGCAGCCGGTGCAGCAGACGGTGCTGGCTCTCCAAGTGCAGCAGGAGGACATCCAGGCCTCTTTGGGCCAAATGACTGACGCGTACAACCAAATACACAGCCACCTGTCGATCATCACCCACGGCCTGAACCAGCTCGGCCTCTCCTTGCCACCGCCGCCCACACAAGTCGACAGCGACCACACTCTCAGCGACGAAGACACACTGGGATCTGATGACCACGTGCGGCCCGCCAGCGTGTTCTCGCCCACGTCTGCCGAGGGCGTCCCGCGTATTCTCGTCACCCAGTTCGGCACCACCCGCTTCGGCACGCAACAGACACCTGATGGAACTGGTGGCAACAGGGGCCCGGACACCGAGGAGACGACGCGAAGATGGCGGATATTCGACGTCTTCAGGACATCACAGCAACACGAGCAGTCGCCCAAACACAGTGCAGAGCCTGCAGACAGCCGCAGGCCGTCGAGATCGCTTCACTACGAGCCCGCGGGTATGATGCGTAGGAGCCTGACTGAGAAGTGATTGAGTGATAGCATTGTATCAGTCAGTCCGTAGGGGAGATGGCGATCTGTGTCCGTGTGCAGTGGGAGTTATTAGTTAGGTCGTGTGTGTGTTTAATTAGCAGCTGTATGTAGCAGCTGTGTGACTGGCGATCGATTACGACCGACGTACAGTGTGTGTATGGCTTCACTTGATATGCCCTGAACCAAGTGTCTTTCCACCTGTCTAGTACATTGAGTCTCATTCGAGGCCTCGAAGCCATGCTAAGACACCATGTGCAGTGCATCCACACACATGAAGCTAAAACACAGAAATACACGATTGTGGCCGCGGGGGCACGAAGCGAATCTGAAGCGAGAGCGAAGAGTCAGTGCAGGGAAGGCACTCAAATGCGTGTGACACTGTGTCCCTTACCAGACGAATGACGATGGGTTCAGCCTCCACTGCACAACGCAGGCTACGATCGCCAGACGGATCTTTTCGGTCTCCTTGAGGAAGCGCGGGATCTTCAGCAATATTTCTCGTCTGCATGGAGGAACACACGGCACAACAACAGTTCGTCTGAACGGACAGCTGCATCGTGATGACGAGCAGCGATGCGGCGGCATCAGGCTGCACGTGGAGGAGATCTCCTCACCTTCGCTATGAGCCGCTGTTGAATATGATCCGCTGCACTCCGATGGACCACTCTGTAACATAGCTCACGGGCGTGGCCACAAACACACACACCTCAGCATCATGGAGGAGATGGGTTTCAGGAGCAGGGTTCGGGTTGGCGCGTCCAGGGTTCGCGACCACAAGACCCACAGTCCCTTCGGTGAGCGGAATTAAGCACTTCACACAGGCATCAACTCATCCCTTGTTGTCTGGCTGCTTCTGTCTCTCAGCCCCCACCCTCTACCACCTATATATCCCTTGCTTGGTCCCGTTAATATTTGTTTGTCTGTGAATGAAGCCCTCTGAGGAGTGAGTGTGTTGTCTGCCTGCCGACAATGCCCAAGGAGGAGTACGTGACCAACCCCAACTCGGTGCTCTTCAAGCCCGATGGACGCGTCTACCACCTCGAGCTCAAAGAGGTCAGTCAGCTGCACGGCGAGGGAGGGGGCAGGGTGAGATGGATGCATGGCTTAGGGCTTGTGGATTGTGTGTGTCTGTCATGGTGCATGTAGGGCGATGTGGCGAAGCGTCTGATCACCGTGGGCAGCCCCAACCGCGCCGACCTGATCTCCCAGCTGCTCGACAAGGACTCTGTCAAGAGCTTCGTGTCGTCCCGCCAATTCACCACATTCACTGGTAGCCAGCCCGTACACGCATCCATCTATCCATCCATCCATCCATCCATCCATCCATCGAGCGGGCCGGTGTGTTGTGTCCTGTGGTGCGGTGATGCAGGCACCTTCAAGGGCACGCCTGTCACCATTGTGAGCATCGGTTCGCCGTGCAGGCAGACGGGCAGCCACAGTGTCACCAGCGCACCTCTGGGTCTCTGTGTGTGCAGGTATGGGTTCCATCATGATGGACTTCATGGTTCGTGAGTACCTCGCCATCACAAACGGGCCGCTCGCCATCATCCGGTCGGTCGACGCGCATCACATCGATCGCACTACAAGGAGAACAGATGATGTCTCATCCATCTCATCTACCACTGTGTGTGGATGGGTATGTGTGTGTGGGTATGTCTGTTCATTCAGCATCGGGACGTGTGGTTCGTTCAACAAGGACATCCCGCCCGGCAATGTCATCACTGCCAAGGAGGGCTCCATCTACATCTACCGCAACTATATGCACTGGGACGGCACATACAACAACGTAACACACCCACTGCCCCCCTCCCCTCCCCCCCAGCACATCCACACGGACCCCCAATGTGTGTGTGTGTCTGTCAGGTGGACGATGCTACGGCCAAGACGCTCTGTGCGGAGCCGTACTTCTTCACCAAGCCCGGCAAGGGCAGCGACCAGCTGCAGGACCTCATGGCCAGCCACTTCAAGTCGACGAACGTGCCCGTCTCCGAGGGCCTCAACGCCTGTGGCGAGACATTCTTCGCCTGTCAGAGACGCGAGGACCCCTCATACGATGTACGTCTGGGTGTGTCGATCGACGCACCGACACACAGACACAGGCAGGGCAGACAGACAGACGGCAAGGGAGGGACACACCTCTTGTTTCTTGTGTTTGGGTGCAGGACGAGAATAAGGGAGTGATCCCCAACCTCACGAACCTCGCTGGCACCGGCAAAAGCATCGACTTCTGTGAAATGGAGGTCAGTCACTCCGGCACCCCCCGCACCCAATACTCACAGCCCCCCTGCACATGGGTGCGTCTGTCTGTCTGTCTGTGTGGTGGGTTCATTCACTCGTTCAGACTCACGAGTTGTTCCACCTTGCCAAGCTGAGCAAGACGCCCATTGCCGCCGGTGCGTGCGCCATCGCGCTCGTCAACCGGCACACGTCGGGCGTCGTCGGCCCCGACCAGCTGCACCAGCGAGAGGAGGAGTGCGGCAAGGCCTGCCTTAGCGCACTCGTCGATCTTGACGTCAGCAACCTGAAGAAATGAACCGCTGGCAGTGATTGCAATGGAACACATAGATGAATGGATGGGCAGCAAGAGATACAGAGAGGGAGGGAGGGAGGGAGGGAAGGTCATAGTACAGCATACACACAGAGAGAATGAGTGCATCCATCGTACAAACCATGCAGTGGCATACATCGCACCCACACGTTCTCACATACACATACGTACATGTGTAGATAGCTAGGCCATGACGGACTGATCGCTTCACGGCTGTCTGTCTCTCTGCCCGCCTCTTTGCCTGCCTGCCTGTCCTTGATGTAGTAGAGCTGCCGCCACCATTCATTCATTCATTCATTGATTTCTCGTGTCCTCCTCCTCTGTGTCCGTCCGTCCATGTCTGTGTGTCTGGATGACACTATCTATTGTACGTCGCGATTTTTCTGATCTGATCTGATCGGATCGGTCGGTTCCCTTTTTCCCGCCCGTTGTTTGTTTCTTTCCGCCACACACACAGTGGGCTGGCTGGGCATTCATTATGATAGGGCTGTGGACACATCACAGGCATGATAAGGCTGCTGGAGAAAAGGGAGGAGAAAAGGGAGTGAGAGACTATTCTATTAGGTGCTGACGATAATCAAGCAAGCTCGGCACTACACTGACGCCCATATCCGCCATATCCTCCCCAGTTCACTAGTCCTTCCCATCACACAGACGTCACGTCAGCTCGCCCCATCCACCCACACAATGCACTTTTTTTACACACACCCAACAGAGAGAGACGGATAAGGGAAGGGACAGCCAAAAGTGGGAAGCACCTACCCTCACCCACCTTCGTAGCAACTAAGTCAGCTCTTTCTGGTACATGAGCATGTCTGCGACGGCCTGCCGCAGCGGGACGCGCATGAGCCGGGCGGTAGAGGGCCGGCGGTCCATGAAGGCATCCGATGGATCACCCACTGGCGGCTCGGTCGTCAACACACAAACAGCCACTGCACGCAGCGAAACAGCACACGCCGAAAAGATGGCTCAACCAGCACAGAGGTTCTGCCACCCGTCCCTCACCTATGTTCGAGTCGGGACGGCTGCCGAGAGTGATGTATCCATGAAAGGGGCCGTCGAATGGCGTCAGCAGCAGAAGCCGAGTCTCTATATGGGGGTCGGTGTCGTCGATGGAGGCCATGACGGCGGTGCATCCGTTGGGCGGCTGGTGGGGCGACTGGTTCATGAGGCCGTCCAGCACACCGCCATGAGCATGCCTGAGGAGACCAACATAGAGCAGAGGGAAGAGGCGGTCGTGGATGGATGGATGGATGTCTTGTCTGTCTGAGTGTGGTGTGTGGTGTGCCCTGCGTACCGGTCCACGTCAGCCATTGCAGACGACCCTATGCACATGTTTGCGACTAGGGGAGTCAGGATGACGACCATGATGAATGACGACACGGATGCATCAGTGGACGGCTCGTTATCGGCCGCCCAGCCGTCCCCCTCCCGGGTGATTGTGGATCTGACGGGCGGGTCGTCATCGATGATGTGCAGGTGGTATGGGTGGGTGGGGGGGAGGGGGGGGTTGACATCCAGCTCGAAGCCCGGCTCGTCACGGAGGGCACGCACACCGCCGCCCGGCTGGTCGAACAGCTCGAAACGGCCGTAGCTGCCGCCGAAGTCGACGTGTCTGCCGACCATCTTCCACAATGCGATCACACGCACATCGGCCAAATACGCCTACGTGGACGACACACACAGACCCAGACAGACAGACAGCCAGATGAGTGCCACCCACCCCACCCCACGCTCATCATGCCCACCTGTTTGCTGTCGTGCCTCTGCATATCGTCGACCGACAGGTAGATGGGCAGCTGACAGAAGCCCCTCTGCGCCGCCAACTTCAGCGCCTTGGCCACCTCGGTCCACTGCTGTGTGTCCACCAGCCAGATGGCCTTGAGCAGCAGAGGGCGGTCCAGCTGAGCGTCGAATGCGACGATGCCGCCCAGCCCCTTGGCTGCCAGGCAGCGACCGAGTCGGGTGCGGAGGACGTACGGCGAGAAGTCGACTTCCCAGAGGAAGTGCGCGGTGACTCTGAGGCTGCCCACCTCCGACCGGCTGCACACACACCCAAGCACACACACACTGTCAGTTACCCCTCCACTTCCTCGTTCATTCATGTGCGTTTTGCATACGTGTGGAAGGCATCTCGGTTGTCTTTGTGGAGGAAGCTCAGCGTGTGGTCATCGATGGCGGCACTGTGGCGGTTCGCACTGTGGTGATTACCCATCTTCCCCCCCCTCACGCTTCTGGAGAATGGACGGCCATCATGCGACCACGCTCATGCCGCCTCCTGCTCTCCGTATCCGCCACTTTCTCCTCCTCCTTCGAGATCGCTTTGCGAGCTCGCAAAGTTTTCTGTGATCATCACAGGGTGCTCCCTGAAACCGCTGCTCCTGTGTTCATCTGTGGCTTGAGGGAGCCACACTCGTCCATCTTGACGTAGTCACTGCTGCAAAATCACCGCTGTGCAGTGTCCGATAGGTGTTTGTGTGAATGGCGATAGTGGTGAGGCGCGAGGGCTGCCCGGATGAGTGGTGCCTGGTGGAGGCCCAGGGCTACATGTCCGCCACGCCATGGGACGGAGATCTGCACGAACAGCCGCCCCATCTGTTCGACGCACTCGACGTCGGCACGCTCACATGGGTGGTAAGCAGAACGTTGAGTGGATGGATGGTTAAATCCGATGGAATTTCAGTCATCCATCTGTTGTGCTGTGTGGTGTGTGTTGTGTTGTGCTGCAGAACGACACGACGGCCAAGTTGACGATAGGCAGCCACACGCTTACCGGCACCCTCACCCCGATCCCCAAGCCCCTGGCCATCGCAGGCACACGGCACGTGACCGAGGCCACCCACCCGCCAGACGACCGCCCGTCGCTGCGCTACGACGTCTACGGCATCGTCAGGAGCAAGATCGTCTTCAAGACCCGCCCCACCACGCTCATCGACCCGAAGCACCTGCACCCGTCGGAGGGCATCACAGTTAAGGGCGGCCGCAGCGGTGGGTCGGCCAAGGGTGCCCAGCTGCGCGGCAAGTCCAGCGCCAAGCCGGGTGGGAGGTGTGTGGAGGTGGAGCGCAAGGAGGGCCCGCTCAAGATGCACCCCTTCTTCGCTAATGTGGGTAAGGGCAGCAGTGAGCCACCGCCACGACAAGGGGAGGGGCAGGGGCGAGGGAAAGACCAGGGTGGGGAGAGGGGCAAGGAGGCGAAGAGAGCAAAAGTAGCCGACAACAAGGAGGCGAAATGACCAGCAACCAACCAACCTACCACACGAAAGGACCGACCGAAGCTAGCGAGCGGATTGGGGAAGCCGTGTGGTGAATGGATGGATGGATGGATGACCGATTTGTGTATATAACTACGGGCTTTGAGTGGTTGCGTGATAGCGTGTGAGGGTGGGATCGAGGGGTACTGTATGGTGCGGTAGCTGCATGGTGCATTCACTTGTGGATGGACGGACGGGTACATGTCGATGCATCGACGGACACTTTTACGTCATGTGTGTGGTCTCATCGATTCGGTGAGTTGAGTGACCCCCCAGTGCGGTGGGCATGTCAATGAACCAACCGATGGACGGTTGTGTGTTAGATTGTGAAGGTGTGTGAACCAATCGTCACTCACACACAGTGGAGGGAATGAGGATTGTGTGGAGGGAGCATGGTACGAAGCATTGTCGTGATGTCCAGACGTAAACAGCACTCACGCACTCACACACACCACACCACACACATCACACGCACAAAGTTTAGCTTAGACGGGCACCAACAGACAGGCAGACAGGCAGGTATCGATCGTATCAATCACGCTCGTGGCTGCTCACTCACAGCGGCGTCCTTGATGACGCAGACACACACATACACATACACATACACACCTCTACGCAAAGGCAGGTAGGCAGGCAGACAGGCGGGGCCAGCGATCGATCGATGCACGGAGCCACACGCCAGCCATGCCACACCAACCACACCAGACCACGCACAGACACACGAAACACGCACGAACAGACAGACAGACACGGATCAAAACGCCATGCCAATCATCATCTCATCCATCGCATATATCTCCCCGCTGATCTATCTCATATCAGCATGACGATTATTCATTCAACCAATCAGCCAATCGACCCCAACCAGCCAACAAGCCAACCAACGAAAGAATGCGGCAAGGCAAACAGCCACCCCACCCCACCCCCACCCCATGAGAGTGTGCATTGCAGTGCATATCGTGCACCACACGTGCACTGCACTGAAGCATGGCCATGCCGTGTGTGCATCCACCCACCCCATCCACCTACCTAGGTACCTAGGTAGCTAGCTATGTACACGAGACCGACCCTTTGTGTGAGTGAGTGCGTGAATGTGTGTGTATGGTATGCAAAGCAAAAAATGCTCTGGATGGATGGATGGAAAGTCCTCCCTCACCCCGACCCCCACCCGCCCTCTCTCTGTGTGCTGTCGGCATGTACGCTTATTTCGCATCCGGCCGACCCACACACACGAGAGAGGGAGGGAGGGAGACGTGTGAACACAGCAAGGTGAGCAAGCAAGAAACAGGCAGCAAGGCAGCAGTGGCGGGGGGGGGGAGGTGGGGTGGGGTGGGGTAGGGAGAATCGATGTGATGTGTGTGGCACAAATATGGCGGCATATCTGTCTTGCCTGCCTGCCTGCCTGCCCACCCGACAAACAGGTGACTGACGTGATGTGACGTGTGTGAATCCGAAAAAGCACACCGCAGGCAGACAGACAGACAGACAGACGTGGTGCCTGTAGGCAGGCCGAGTCTTACATGGAGGAGGACATTAAGGCAAGATTGGAGGCTCGGCTTTGAACTGATCTGATCTGCTGTGTCCCGCTGTCTGCTCCGCTGTCTGGAGCCATGAGGCATGGAGGCTTCGCTCTCGCAGATGTGCTGTTTCTGTCCCGACCGCCCCGGAGCTACGGGCACCTTCATTCTCGCACAATGAAAGCGCCGCAGCTTAGGAGGGGCCGAGCTAGAGCCAGCGCATTGTCCGCCCCGCGAGCCCATGCTCATCAACCGCAACGATCAATAGGCTAGTCAGTAAGTGAATCAGGCAGGCAGACCGAAAAGCCTATAGGATCTTCCTTCGTTCGTTGCTTCCTATCCTTCCCAAAACTCAAAGGCCCTCACTCCTCACTGAACTGAAAACTTCAGCTGCCGCAACGAACTGACTGATTGACCTGACCAACCGCCCAACCGCCCCGACCGGCCGACCAGTAAGTCCCACCGCACAGCCAACTAAGTGAAGGAAGTGAGTCCACCAAAAGCAACGCGACAACACCACACCCACACCCACAAGCCCACACTCACACCTACAGCCACACGTCGGGCCAGGCCGACTGCTGTGCCTGACCGACCGAACCGACCGACCGACTGCCAGACAAGGAGGGGAGAGGGGGGCGGGAGGGGGAGGGGCGCTGGCAAGCCGGCTGGCAGGCGCGCAGACAGGGAGACAGACAGGGAGACAGCCAGCCGTGGTGCGACCGGGGCGGGGTGGGGAGGAGGGCAGGGGAGATCAGAGCGAGAGAGAGGGAGAGAGGCAAGATGTGTGGGTTGGGGCGGGGTCAGCATGCCGCTGCGCTGGGGTGCTCTGGGAGCACCTCGGCCGCTTGCGCCTCCAACTCAGCCTGCAGGTGGCCAGATCAGATGGATACAGACCAGATGAGGGCAGGGGCGTGAGCACGATGCGATGCATCGACCGACGTGCGTGTCGGTCTTGGTTCCCTACCGGGATGGGCAAGGTTTCGAGTGTCCTGAGGAACTCCATAAACCGCTCGTAAAAGGGGCCGCGAGCCTGACAGACAGAAAGACAGACAGACAGACACAACACACACCACACAAAGTCGGGTCGCCACATTGTTCCTGTCCATGTGTGGAAGGCTGCTGCTGTCTGACCATGATTTCCAGGTTGTTGTGTCCGCCACCGTCCACCCAGAAGGGCTCCACCGGGTGCCGACTCTGCTTGTACAAATCCTGTACACACACACACACAAGAGATAAGGTGAAGGGGCGTGTGTGCATGTCTGTCTGTTTCCTTGCTTCCTTCCAGTGTGCACTGACTGCACTGACTGACCTTGCCGTGCCAGTAGGGCACGATCTCGTCTTTGGTGCCGTGGATGATGTACACGGGACACCGCAGCTTGCCGATCTGATGCATGTCATGTCAGCAGCAGCAGCAGTGTGTGTGGTGTGGTGGGGTGGGTGGGGTCGGCTGTTCCTCCTGTGTGTGTCTATGGTCGTATGTGCGATGCGATGAGATGGGTGACCTTATCGATGTTTGCGAACATGTCCCCGGGCAGTGTGAACCGAAAGTTAAACGCCACACGATACGCAGACAACACGGGACTCTGAACACACACACACACACACACAGAGTCGGCAAGGTCATGGCAATCATCACTTGCCCAAGCAAATCGAACCGCTCTGTCTGTCTGTGTGTGTGTGTGTGAGAGAATACCTGCAAGACGACAGCTCTGACGGGATATTTGGTGGCGAGATGGACCGACGGTCCGCTGCCCAGCGACCGCCCGTAGAGGATGATCTGGCTCCAAGACACACCGATGATGTTAGTCAGGTACCTACACCACGAACGAAAGTTGCAATCGAGCAACCACCCAACCGAAGCAGCACCAACACACAGCATCCCATGACCGCCTCTTGTTTGTCCCCCCGTGTGTGTCGTGTCGTGTCGGTCGGGTCGTTTCTATCTTGGTTTCTTTCTTACGTGTATGCCGCTTCGATGTCGGCATAGAGCCCCTTCTCGTTGGGCACCCCCGTGCTCATCCCATAGCCTGCACAGCACATACACACCACACGCAGCCCGCCCACCCAACCAACCCATTGATTTCTGTCTGACATCTGCTTGTGCAGGTGACTCAGACACGTTCGTTCAGCCAGCCACATGAATGGCAGTCAGGCCAGGCCCCTAGCAGCCCTACCGTACGTACCAGTGTACTCGTATGCGAATACGTTGACGTCGAGTATCTGCGACACCTCCCTGAAGTAGCCAATGATCATGCCCAGATCCTCCGCATTGCCGTGGCTGAACAGCAGAGTGAACGGCTTCGCACTGAGGATGATCAGTAAACACACACACACACACACACGTGGCAACCAAACCATCACCTGTTGCAGTGCCGTTTCTGTCTGCCTGCCTGCCTGCCTGCCTGTCCATCTCATCTCAGACCTCACTCACTTGTCGATGAAGAATGCTGGAATGACTTCGTTCTGCTGCGTCCTCAGCCAGACGAGGTTGGGGTCTTTGGTGTAGGTGGGCTCGGGAGGCTGAAACACCAGCTTGCTGATGTTTGTACCCATCTTCCTCGGTGGTCGCACTCAACCCAACCACACCAGGCCGCCCAACCGCAGCCAAACAGCCTGCCAACAACCGCTGTTCACAAAGGAAGGCAGCGCCACGCCTCGTTCGCTACGCTACGACAGCCTTGAAAATCGACGGACGTCGCGATGCGCCTGGCCCACTGCGGTGCCTCAGAAACAGCTCTCAAAAAATGCGAGCTGGAAGAGGCAGATCTCCGTCAGCTCGCACAGAGAGGAAGGCGCCTTGGACACCCCCGGTGCAGGCAGGCACAGGAATGTCGAAGGCGGCGCAGACCAAGACAGCCGAGCTGCTGTCGCAGCGGCGGCTGCCTGGCTCCCCTCCGACGATATCATCCAGCGGTCGGGGCCTGATGGACCTGCTCAGGGGCTGGCACGGCTGGTTCGGGCCAATCACCAACAACAACGCCCACACGCTCAACTTCTTCTTCGGCCTGGTCCAGGGCACGTTTGCCAACACGTTTGAGCTGCTCGGCGGACTGAGGTACGAGAAGCTGCCGCGGCAGCTGGTCGACTACGTCATCCGAGGGGGCGTCCTTTGCCGCTCCATGTGGGTGGTCTTCCCGCCACTCATCCTCTACAAGTTCATCAGAGGGGTAAGGAAGGCATGACAGCACAGCTGGCCATGCAGACAGACAGACAGACAGACAGACACACCCACACACGCACACGCGACGACGGACACGCAGGATGGGATATATGCGATCAACACGGCGTGTGTTGTGTTGTGTTATGTGTGTGCAGACGGACCGTGCGATGTGGTCAGTGGAGAGTTTCTACCTGGGGACGAGGGGCGGTGAGGCGCAGGCCTACTGGGACATGACGCGGCCTGGGTGGGGCGGCCACTGGAAGGCCCAGGCGGACCTCGAGCAAATCTACCGGACGTCACACGGGGTGACCGAGCCGCTCAAGCAGGAGGCCGCAGAGGAGGAGGACGACGAGTGATTACTCTCACCGACTCTCTGACTCGCTCACTGACTGGGATTGGGTGTTGTGGTGTGGGTGCTTAATTTTAATGTACTACTGGCTGAGGAGGTGGATGTGTCGGCGGCTTGTTCTGCCCAGCGACCTTTTCCGGCATTGACCGAGCTCCCTCGAGTGCTCGGAGAGTGCGGGAGAAGGTGGGAGGGCGAACGAACATGCCGCCGACACACACTCACCACATGGTTGACGGGGCTGAGAGGGTCGGGATAATACCCATCAGGATGACAGATGGATGGATGGATGCTGCTGTGGGGATTTTTCCTTGTCCCTCCCGCAATGCAATCGAATCGATGGGTTTGGGGACCTGTGGTGCTGTTGTGGTCCCTCTCGCTCACTGGTTGTGGTTGGTTGGTTGGTTGGTTGGTTGAGCCGTGTGTATAAAAACAGTTGCCGTCGCCAAGTGCCGTGACGGCCCCACAGTCATGGCGGCTGGCGGCGGCATCTGCTTCAGCACACACAGCTCAAGTGATCACACCCGCATCACTCGAGCGGGGAGGGATCGGGGACGGCCTACACACGCCATGTGGCTGCAACGAGGCGCTACTGAACATTGAATGCGATAGAGTATCAGGACTGCTTTCGCCACATGTTGGTTTTTTCCGCGCGTGTGTGTTGTACCGTGTAGTGTGGTATTGTGTGGTGCGACAAGCCAAGCCCCCGCCGTACTCGTGTTATGGCAGGCAAGGAGGGGCGACTTCTTCTGTATGAAAGAGTGTATGGCCGGACCTCTCCATGGGATGGGCGTGTGACTGACTGACTGACTCGCCCAAGCCACAATTCATTCAACATTGTCGATCAGATCACCACAGGGCGTTCTTTGCGCCTTCAGAGAGAGATACGAAATATGCCTTAGTGATGTGAATGTTCGTCACTGTCCGCAATTACGCAGAGGAAGACACACACACATACGGAGAGACCGAACCGAACCAATACAGGGGCCATCCATCCATCCATTTACACACATCTCAATCAATCGCTCGATACGCAGCAAACACTGTCGTCTCTTTGCCACAATGGGCTATGCCGTCTGTCTGTCTGTCTAGTGCTGCACAGGACACTGTGGGCATTCGTACGACACGAACGAGCCTCCGAAAGCACTTCTCTGTCTGGACAGAGATTGAGAGAAGAGACAGGCTGCTGACCACTGAGGGATGGAGGGAGGGAGGACAGTGCAGCAGCATCGCCTCGTCTGGCTGTCGGCTAATTACACAAAGGTGACATGATAGACAGACAGACAGATAGATGGCAGGGCTGCTGCTCCTCTCCCTTCCCGTTGGCTGACTAATTACAAGGGAAAGGAAGGCCCTGCCTGCCTGCCTGCCTGCATTGGAGGAGCAAACCAACATATACAACGCCTCCCCATCCCTCCCCCCCAGCGATGGATGCTATCTATACACGCCCCTCCCTCTCCCACACAGCCTGTTGCGCTTACAAAACTGGCAAGGCAAGGCAAGGCAAGGCAAGGCTCAGATAGATGTAGAAAGATCCCTCGTCTCTCTCCCTCAGTGTGTCCCTCCCTCCCTCCCTCCCTCCAGACCCTCCTCCCTCGTTCAGACGTTCATGGCTGGCCCCCCCCTGTGCCTCAATCTGCCATCTGCCAGCATGGGTGGCGCCAGCAGCAGCACACTCACCACCGCCATGACGCACAGCACACCGAAGAGGCTGTCCCACCCCAGCGCCTCCGAGATGCTGGCCGTCAGGTACCCCTGCACCACCGCACCGCTCGACCCCATCCCGTTGACCACCCCGGCCGCAGTCGACAGAGCCCCCAGGCCCAGCCCCGATTTCTCGCAGAGGTCCTGCGCGGCTGCTGCACCCAACACAGAGTCGGGGCCGGCCACCGTGAAGCCCACCACTAGCATCGCGAAACATATGGCGCTAAAACCTGATGGATGGATGGATGGAGCAGAACTACAGTGTTTCCCCCCAGTGTTTCGTTTGCTGGCTGTCGTGTCCGTTCCGTTATGTTCTGTGCGTTGGGTACCGATGTGTGTGGAGTATGCGAAGAAGAGGATGGCTGTTGCCGTGGCGAGGCACATGGTGGCGGCCGCCTGCAGCCTCTTCCCCTGCATTATGTGGTCCGACAGGTAGCCGGTGAATATGGCCCCGCCGATGCCCCCGATGTCAAACATCATGGAGGAATAGCCCGCGATGGAGGCCTCGTACTCGAGGTGTTGTGTGAGGAAGTAGGGCAGCCAGAAGAGCAGCGTGTAGCGGATCAGCTTGACGAAGAAGTAGGCCCCCGCTACGTGCAGCAGGTAGGGCATCCTCACAATGTCCCAGAACGTGAAGGTCCGCCGCACGGGCGCCCCAGTCGTCACCACATGAGTGCCGCCATTGGCTCCTTCCCCTGACCCCGATGTCGACTTGGCGTCGGTGGGTGCGGACCCCGGCCCCTCGCCGGTCCCCGCTGCGCCGCCCCCGCCCGGGCTGCCGCCTCCCACCACTTTGGGCGACTCGGTCCTCTCTTCCCCTGCTGTCTTGACATTGACACCATTTCCCTCTCCGTTGCCCTTGCCCGCCGCGGCATCCATCTTGGCCTTGGGCCCTCGGTGCCCCACTGACGATGCCACAACGTGGTCGTCACTCGCTTCGCTCCCGCCAGATGTGGACGCCATCGATGAGACCGTCATGCGTCGGGGACTGGTGCGGCTGTCGCCATTGGCCGTGTCATCGGCGGCCTTCGGCGAGCCTTTGTCGTTGGCAGACGGCGCCGGGGCCACCTTTTCGGCTCCCGTGGCGATGACGGCTGCGAGGGCGGGGGAGGGGGCTTCAAGTAGGAGGGAGTAGAGGGCGAAGCCACATGCCGCCACCACTAACGCGGGCATGTAGAAGGCCATGCGCCACCCAAAGTGCTGCGCCACGAAGGCAGCGAGGGCCGTGGCCACCATCGCACCGATCTGCTGACTGGCAGGTACGCAAAAACACCAACAAACGCGCGCAGAGGGGAGGGAGGGAGGGAGGAATGAATACAATGCGGCTCGGCCCGCACACACGTGTTGTCAACCCCGTTCAGCTCACCTGGTTGTCCACACTCCCAGGACAGAGCCCCTCGTCGTGGGGCTGTACCAGGGCGACAGCGCCTTGACGAACAGGGGGAATGCAGCCGCATGGAGCAGCCCGTTTCCCAGCCAGGCGTACGCCAAGACCTTCTCGTTGTGCGTCCCGGCAAAGATGAAGCAGCACACCGCCGACCCCGCGTAGGCCAGGAACAGGACGTTCCTGAGGCCCCACCTGTCGGCCAGCGACGGGATGAACATCTGGCCCAATGCATAGGCCGTCAGGAAGGCCGTGTCGATGGTCCCCAGCTGAAACCGACTCACGCCAAGCTCATTCTGACACCAGACCCCCCATCACACATACACACACACACACAGAGAGAGAGAGAGAGAAAATGAGGGCCATAGACAATATGCGCGTCTATTTATCTGTCCATCGCTCTCTGCGCACCTGTATGTGTGTCTTGACGACTGAGAAGGGTTTCCTGGTGCTGTAGAGCACTGCATAGGAGGTGTAGGTCAGCGTGAAGAGCAGCAGCTGGCTGTGCCGGACGATGGCCCGGGGGTCAAAGGCCTTGACCGCTGCTGGCTGCTGTGGCTGCGGCTGACTGTTGCTGGTGGCCTCCTTTGCGGCACCCTCCTTGCCGCCCTCCATATCGTCACCGCCGTCAGTGGTCGGGAGGGCGGCAAATCCCCGCGGCGCCCGCTGCAGCACCAGGGAGAGGGGGTTCTGGGCCATCTCTTGCAGCCAGTTGAGGGAGGACTGGAGGGCAGACGGCGGTTTGGTCATCTTTGGCGACTTCACCATTCAACCGAGAGACCACATTTAAGTTGCTAAGACTGGGAACCGAGCACGCAGAGGCACTCAATGCCCCTCTCTGCACAGAACAAACAACGCAGAGAAGCCAAAACCTCGTCGCACATTGGGTTTTGACTTGGTCCAGCAACTTCAAGCTCGCAATCGCCAGCGGCCTTCTTCCCCTCCCTTTCCGTCAAACACGTCGAATGATGGAGCATGCTGAGGGTGAGCTCGACAACAATGCACTTACTGCCGAGGCAAGGAAGCTGCTCGAGGAACTGGCATCAACGACGCTCCCCGACGGCCGCCCCGGCAACGTGGGCATCTCGTGGGACAAGAGCCGCAACAAGATGGGCTACTGCGTGCGGCTCAAGTTCCTGCAGCAGAACATCATGGGCAAGGGCTGCCACAGACCCGCTGAGAGGTCCGTCGCTGGGCTAAGGCTGGCGCTCCAGAGTGCAAAGGATGTGCGCGACAAGCTGGTGAGTGACTTGAGCGGTGCCCGGGCCGAGCTGAACGAGATGAACGCCATGCACCAGCAGATGCTTCTGGACCAAGTCAAGGAACGACCAGGTGAGGAGGAAGTCAAAACAGGGGGAGGGGACAAAACGACGTGCATTCAGCATCTACGGCTCTGTTTCTACCTTGTGTGTGCGGTTGCTGGCAGATGCCTTGACGGATGCCCAAGTCCGCACAGCCGCCCAGCTTCTGATGAACCGACACCGCGCCAACACGCCTGCCACTCGTCCTGCCCTCAACAGTCGCGAGGACGGCGAGCGGCGGCTCAAGCAGGGCTGCGGAATCGCATGGCGCAACGACAAGCTGGCCTTCGAAGTGAAAATCTGGCGCGACGGCGGCTACCTCCCCAGGCGAGCCTTTGCGGTCAAGCGCAACACCGTCGCGGACCTAAGGGAGGCCTTTGCCATGGCCAAGGCGGCGGCTGAGCACATGATGGAGGAGCACATGGAGAGGGAGGTCGTCGTGCAGCCCACCCTCCTGCAGGCGGCCATGGGGCAGCAGCAGCAGGCTGTGCCAGCGATCGTGGACCACCCCCCACTTGCCATCACCGATGCCCAGCCCTCGCCCGCCGCCATCAAGGCCGTCAAGGACGAGAAGATTGACGGCTCATCTGACCCACAGGACGGCAGCGTGGCCCTCGACAAGTGCGCAGAGGCGGCGCGGAAGCGCCTGAGCGATCGGAGCGTGGGTGACTTCATGGTGGCGGAGCAATTGCGGTGGAACTGTGACTCTCGTGAGTACGAGGTGGTAGAGTGTGTGTACCGCAGGCACAACTGGCGTTCGACGCCCTTCTCCGCCAAGTGGGCCAGTGTGGGTGCGAGGGTGCCGGAGGGGGAGGGGGGGCTGATGCTGATGGAGGGAGTGGTGGATGAGGCCCTGAACAAGGCTGCCAAGGCCGTGCTGCTGAGAGCGCTGAGGCGGAGGAATAAAGACAGGGCCAAGCGGAAGGACAAGGCAGTGTAGGTGGGGGGATGGACTAGGCCGAAGCTGCCTGATAGCTAATGTCACTGGTATTTCATTATACACTATGTGTTTGTTGGGGGGGGGGGGGGGGGGGGGGGGGG